TGGGCTATATTATCTTGATTCAACATCTCGTCACAGGCTGCCGTGGATATTATGGAGAATCAGGGTAAAATCACAGCTGACCGTCCTCGCATGATTGCAGCTGGAGAAATGTTTGGCGGCGGGATGGGCATCGGATTTGCACACTGGGGAGACAGGTTTCGTCGTATGCGTAGGTTGGTAGTCCGCGATACTTTCTTTTGTCTGTCTTACTTTTCAACGTGGTGCAGAGCACTTCACACACATCTCCAGCCTAGAGCGGCTGCAGCATATCAGCCCCTGCAGATGTCACACGCGAAGGATACAGTCCTCGGCATTCTCGATGATCCACATGGCGACTTCCAGAAGCATGTGATAACGTAAGAACCGTCAGTTATATTATACCTCGCTCACAGGTAATTTCAAGTTATGCTGCGACGACAATTATGAAGATTGCCTATGGGAAGACTACGTCTACATCTGCGACTGATTCTTCAGTTATTGAAATCCGACAATTCGTCAAGACGATTAGTGCAGTCGTGCGTCCTGGTGCTTACCTAGTGGACTCGATTCCGTGGCTCAAACACCTTCCTTGGTATGGGCGAGACTTAAGACAGGGGTTTGAGAGGACCAAGAAACTCAACCTTGGTCAGCTAAACCGCGTGAGGGAGCAAATGGTATATATTCTATGTTGAATCTTGACTTCATGTCTGAGTCGTTCCACAGCAGAGCGACGTGGACATCGGCCCTTCGTTCATGAGATATATCCTGGAAAATCGCCATCTCTATGGTTTGTCAGACACAGAGATGGCCTTTCTCGGCGGTTCGTTTTTTGCAGCTGGATCTGAGACGGTGAGGTGTTGTTTTGCAGCCTCCGAAGATAGTACGCGGCTGAAATCGGGCGAAAGACCTCTACGGCGATCTGCACAGTACTCATGGCGGCTGCATGTTTCCCTGAGGAGCAAGCTCAAGTTCAGGCTGAGCTCGATGTAGTCATCGGAAGGCACAGAGGTACCTTTATTCCCTTTTGCAGCGCTATTATTCAATAATTCTTGCATGAAAGCGCCGACTTTCGCCGACCAACAATTCCTTCTTCGCCTGCAAGCATTCATATCTGAGTCTTTGAGATGGAGACCACCATTGCCTACTGGTGGTATGTATATTGTTTCGATCTTGTGCCTAAATTTTATAACATGAACGCTGCAGCGCTGGCTCATCGAACAACTCAGGACATAATCTGGGCAAGTGATCTTGGACAACTTATCGTGCAAATGATGATCTGGCCGCTCAGGAAAACTATTGTATTCCAGCCGGGACTACGATATTCGCTAATCATTGGTAAGCATCCTGCTCCAAGAATACTTACCAAGGATCTAACAGTCACTGTATTAGGGCCATCTCTCGAGATCCAGATACCTACCCAGAGCCTGACACGTTCAAGTCTCAGCGCTGGATTGACGAGCAAGGTCGTCTGCGAGATGATTTGACATTCTTTCCCTACGGCTTTGGTCGGCGGTAGGCAGTATCTTTAAGCATTCCTTCTTTGATTGACATTTCCTTTCAGTGTATGCCCCGGTCAACATGTCGCGCAAAGGTGAAGCCACCCTTCCACGCACATCATCTTCTGAGCTCACTTTGATCAAACCAGATCGGTATTCATCAACTCGCTTCTTATTTTTTGGGCTTTCCAGCTTACATTGGATCCTACGAAGCCATTGGATGACATGGGGCTGATGATCGGGGAGAAATCAGATAATCCCTGTGCTATCAAGTTTGAGACGAGGATTCCGGCAACGGACCTCAGGCTCCTGATGCGCAATTATCCTGATGGGAATGCGCTTGGTTCGAAATGAATGTCACTTTTAAAACCAGTGTTGTGTTGATCGTCCCTGGGAGCCTTCCCCTATGATAGAAATCACCAGCTAGAATATGCTATGAATTACTATGTGTGTTTGAGTCTATGTCTTGTTTCGCAAAATAAACAAAGACTTGATCAATAAGCTGGCTTCAGTGTGTAGGAAACAGAGGAGTGACTAAGGTTAAGGCCTAAGGCTAAAGGCAAGCAGATGGGTATAATGTTTGGGTAAAGTCTAAGATCTAAGGCTCTCGACCGAAACATCTTTGGAGGCTCTCAGAACAGGGTCAAGGAAAGCTGATATATCGATACCCCTAGGAATTCATACAAGCACGACTTATTCCATCTAAGGCGAACCGAGAAAGGGCTGGACCGATCGATGAACACAGCCAGTTACTATCTAAAGGCGAGAGTACTACATAAAGCGAAAACGACTACTATTTAAGAGCAAAAAGAAAGGGTTCTCAAAATCGGACAGATCTACCGCAAAAACGTGAAAATCAAAGCCGACAAGACCCTACCAAGGTCCAAAATGAAAGTATACGGAAACATCCAAGATGATACATGCCATAGTAATATCGATATCAATATATTGGACGGGGTCAGGGACAGTCTGAACTCGAAATAAAAGAACTCGCGCACATCAATGCTGCGACAGAGAAAACAGTGACAGTTGTAATAGTGATACTCCAGGTCGTAGAATGCCAATAGGTAAAGAATAAATATAGTCTCGGCGCTAACAAAACAGCAACTCGATAAAGCAAAACAAAAGGAAAGAGATAAATCGATCAATCGATCATGAATGAGTCGTCACATAACATAGTAAACGTACAGTGTATACAACGCGCAAAACTCATGATTCGCCTGTGACGGTGATAGAGGCGGGTGGGTCTTCAGATGGGGCAGTACGCCTAGGGGTGGCTGCGCGTAAACGAACCCTCGACTCTGCAAATGCACCAGGCGCGTTAAAAATAGCTTCTGCGAACGCAAATGCCACTACGACAGACGCTGTCAAGAAGCGCCATTTCTGACCGATAACATCGACGCCTTGGAGGGACACCTCGAGAGCGCGGAAGGGGTAAGCGACATGGGCTGCCAGACGAGCTATAGAAGCTGAGAGGGGATCGAGTGCGATGACTTGTGGGGTGCGGGAGGATGTAGAATTAGCGGGGTGGAAGGAGACGAGGAGGCCGAAGACGAGTGGGATGAAGACGTTGGGTATTGACCAGTGGATTAGGACGGTCCAGAAGGATGGTGTTAAGAAGGTGCGAGCGGGGGGATAGGAGATCGCGATGTAAAACTGACTAGGCGAGCCTGGTGATAGCTAAGGTGGGGGTTAGACGCGCAAAGTGAGGGAGAGTACAGGAAACAAACCTCGAAGGTCTGCCATGGAATAACCATGTAGAGAATGTAGAATAGCTCAAGGAGAACAGTAAGGAACCAAATATTGGTAGAGTCCGAGAGGACCTAAAACACGTGGTTAGTGGGTGATTCTGTACAACAATGTAAGACTTACGGCACGCGTCGTCAACAAGGTGGTTCGGGTGTGTTTTTGGACGCTGACTTGTAGCTTTGCGAGAGATTCACAAGCCATTTGAGTAAGAGGTTCAGAAACTGGACGCGTTTTTTGAATGGACGCGACAGGTCGGGCGCTTTCTATTTTGCGTTGGGGAGAAAGTTTAATGGACGAGGTAGGGGTGGACTGGGCGTCAGGGGATATGGGAAGGTTTCTGAGCATGATAGACACGTTTCGCATATCGTCGACAGGGGTTGTCTCACGTGGGTCAAGCGGGACGATACGACGACTGCGAGTGACTTGGGGGCTCTGGTGGAGTTTCTCTTCCCGTTCATTTGGTGAACTGGGGACAAAGCGCCTGAGAAGAATATGAGGAGGGGGAGTAATAACATTGATGAGACTGACTCTATAGGAGGTTGTACGCTCTTCTTCTTCTTGCCGTATAAGCCAGAGAAAGTAGGGTCATCTTCATATTTCGATTGATGCTGCTCGAGATGACGTTTAATTCTGCCTTGTAGATCCTCTCTTGTTCCAGTATCACTGATGTTCAGAGCCACTGCGATAGCTTGAAGATCGGCCTTCTTCTTTGAAGGAATTGTACCGCTGAATGTGATTGGAGCCATGATGGTTAGATGGAAGTACTGTTGAAGTCTGGACAATTCGCGTCAACAATGTGATCACGTGGAACGCGGCTCGAAGATCGGTCGTATTAGCGGGCCCTTCTCGACACGGACACCTGTGTAACGCTGTGTCTGTCAAATGAACCAGTGCTACTAGTTATAGCTAGGCTCCGGTAGTCTTATAAGCCATCTCGCAGCGCTTGATACCTTTGTTCTTCACTCCCAGCTTGCTAGTCATGCATTTTGCTTTTATTTCTTTCCTGTTGCTTGCTGGTCAAGGTCAGTCCTATCACTTGTCTCCATTAACCCTATATTGAATAACATTATCGTAGCCCTCTCATTGTCTATTGATGTTGGTGGTTCTGTTGGAACTATCGATGCGACCCAATTCCTCAACGTCTCCGATACATACCTTTTGACCGATGTAAGACACACGATCATATCCTTTATATACCCTTCTAACCCTTCTATATAAGTGTCAGACTCAATGCTCCAACGCCAACGCTCAAATCTCCGTATGTCCCCATTCTTCCATTAGATCCCTTCCACATCTAATCTCCCTCAGACGTGCACAACCAATGATTCTTGTCTTTGTGCATCCAACACAGTCACCGCCATCACCTCCTGCGAGCAATGCATGTTCGACGACTTGATCGCAAAGTTCACAACTAGCGCCGATCCTCGTGCTGGTTCAACCGCTGCTCTTACTGGTACCTTTCTCACTTTTTCTATCGGTACCCTTTATTGACCCCTTCTATCAGCATACGCCACCGCGTGCTCATCCGCGGGTTTCACAGTCCCTTCCTCCCTCGTTACCTTGTCCATCCCTTCCAATTGGGATGGTCCTCTCGGAGTTTCCCTGAGCACAGCGTCTACTGTCGTGATCGTTGCCATTACTGCAGCCCTAGGCACAGGCAGTCTCCTCCTCTTGTCTAACTTGTGAAGGAACCACGACGTCAGCCTGATTATTAGCTTGCTCTGCCATTCGTTATATGTTATGTATGCTTGATAGAATAATACATCACGCCTGTCGTTTCATCAAACGGATGAATTCAGTCACTGAAAACACTGTCCCTTCTACAAAAGGACGATAGGTGTTGGGATGGAAACATAACTGCCTCAATGATTCTTCAAAGGGAGAGCTGCGGAGTGTGGCTGAGCGCTGACGCAGCTACAGTTGTTGCAAAGAAATACCGATTTCGGTTCGAAACCGCGCAACTGCAGCTGCAGTACAACTAAAAACTGTATTCAATAAATCAATGTTGGATACTGCCTCGAACGAGACATATGCCCGCCCGCCCATGACACGGTAAAGAGGAGGAAGATGTCCAGAAACATAAAGAAAACGCATATCATTTCCTCTCGTAATCTTTCGAAAGGTCGATCTCTCCCTTCAAATGCGTATTCGTAATCTTCGCTTGTCTCTGTCGCGGTGCCGAGCGCTTTCCCTTCTTCTTCATATTCGATGGCGCTTTCGGGATCGGCGTCTCTTCCGCAGTAGCTTGAAGCCCCTCTGTATCATACCTGTCAGACACCAAACGAAGATATAAAAATAGGAGGGACGTACCAGCATGCAGCGCCTTCAATAAATCAACATCATTAGGCACCTTCAGCGAATGCCACAAATCAAAGAATTCTGTCCAAAACAAAAAATCAGCATGATGCATCCCACAATACTAAACTCACCTTTCTCAACATGTTTCCCCCCACTCTCATCATCCGGCTTGATCTCATTCCAAAATACCATCCGCAACTGACCATCTTTCACAGTCCTCGTAACAAGCACCTCTCCCTCCTTCTCCAGCTCCTCAATAGCCTGTGGCGCCTCTTTCCAAGACTCCTTGAGCGCACGCACAGGTATCCCGCCGCCTTTCCTCGTCTGTCGCTGGATCTCTGTCAGGAGCGCTACTTTGTTTCGAAAGCTAAATTCATGCTGTGTCGCGTCAATAGGTGGCTGAGAAAAGAAGAGAAATAGACGTACACGATATGAATATAAATCTGTCTTTGAATCCCAAATAATCTTATCATGCGACTTGAATTTTTCGAGTAAGACTGCATCAGTTTCCAGCGGCGTATTCGTTACGATTGCAATATCTTGAAGACGCATGGGATTATGCGTCGACTACGTACATCCACAAACAATCTCAATAAGCAAGAAAAGAAAAATAAACGCAACACGTACCTTGAGATGATCAATAGCATACACAAGTTGCGTATTCACATTCGTCCCCGTCCCCGTATCCGCCGGCTGTGAGTATACGATATCTATAAAAAGAACGACAAAAGAGAGTGAAAGAAGTCATTATATACAAAAATCACAACATACTGGTCTTTGGCCGTTTCTTCTTCGTACTAGGCGTGGACGTTGATTCTGCAGTTGTAGGCGCGGGTGCAGGTGTAGAAACAGAGGCACTGGCAGAGGAAGAGGAGTTGAGTGGTGCAGGTTGCGAATGCCATGAAGTGTAATCTTGACGATGGAGGGCGCGTTTGAACGAGTCGGCATCTTTTGTGAGAGACATGTGGGGAAGAGAACGAGAAAGGCTGAAAGTATTACTTCTGTGACTCTTGCCGTTGGCCCGGCTCTGGGCCACGTGATCTAGAAATCGATGTCACGACAAAGTAATAGCTACACCCCGGTATATATATACAAGTTACAACCACCCGTTAGCTTGATCACGCATAGACATGGCATCTCAAGCAGCAGCAGCGACCATCCTCGACTCAGTCATCCTAAAGATTCTACACGCTCACAATTTCTCGAGGTCATCGTCACAGGCATCCATCGTTCTTGCCAGCCTCGTTTCTCGCTATCTCGTTCTACTATCTTCTGTCTGTGGCAACTATGCCGAACTTTCAGGACGCTCACGAATATCAGTATGGGATGTGTTGAGCTCGTTAGAAGATTTAGGTGTGAACCTGGAAGAATTAGACGAGTATTGTGTTTCTGAAGGGAAGGACCTGGGGAGGTATGCGAGCAGCAGTGCCAGGAGGCTCGACGATCTCTTAGAATTCAGAGGTATCTTTTACAAATTCTCCTGTTCTCCGTTTCATTAAACACAGTCGTCATTACAGGCTATCTACAGGAGGGCCACGAAGACGATGCGATACCTTTCATCGACCCGCAACCTTTGTTAGACGACTTTGACGACTACGATGACTTATTCGATCGCTCAACTACCCCAGATTTCCTCCCTCCACTCCCAGATGACACGTCGCGCCCGCGAAGCGTATCGCCAACGCCAACCCCTCACACTGTGAAGCTCGAAAAGCCGCCCTCACTTATCCCACAGCACATAACCTCCAACACCGTTTCCGACTACGTGACACAGGTCAACTACTCAGAATCGGTCCTAGCTACTACCCCAGAGTGGCACCTCCCCTCGCGCCCACCAGCTAGTGCCCTCTCCAGAAAACAGCCACCTCACCTCCCAACCCCCCAAACAGCACAAGCGCTCCTCCAAGCATACCATCATATCCTCACGCACCCCGTCCCCCCTCCCGTCCCACCAAATCCCTTAAAGCACAAAGTCGCAACGATGCTCCTGTCCCAAGTACAAAACAATCCACGGTGGAACCCTCCAGATACATTATACGCCAACATCGTACCCTGCCCACCTCGCGTCGCAGCCATCAGCCCTTCCTACCCTGTCCCGCAGTCGACTCTGGACGACATACGTGCAGGAAAAGACGACAAAGAGTCCAACAACAAACCTATATTTCCCTCTGCGCCTCCGCGCCCTGTATTTTCCGCAGACAAACCCGTTTTTCTCGTATCTCAGCAATCTTCGCGTCTACCAGATCTCGCGCGTCAAATCTTGCCTGTAAGTCATCGTTTTGCACGTTTGTTTGATGTCTCACGATGGCGCCGCTATAGCCCTCCGTGCTCGCGCGCACCACGCGTCTCGCACATCCACCCGTATTACAGCGGGGCAACCAGAAACTACATTATGGCACCGGTGTCAGCGCCCCTTGGAACTCGTCTACATCGGGGGCGCCTACTGGTGGAAAAGGTAAAGATGAGGGTACAGCCAACGGACGCAGCAATGAACCTCCAACATTCACATTACCCGACGCACAAATGTTCGCTACGTGGGATTTCGAGGCAAAGAGGCCGCAAGAGGCATTAGTAGTACGCAGAGGGAGGGGTGTGCCTGCGTCTGGAGTGACACTTTCTATGGGGAACCGTAAAGGATAGTGCGCTCCTCAGGTTAGCTGACTATTCTACACAACGAAGACCTTGAAAGACGTCAAATCGATATAAGGTCCATCAAATATTAATTGGGGGAGATATACGATGTGCTAGGTGCTATACATGTCACACCTGTACTTCAGTAGTCTCGACTTTTACGCTTTTCTTATCCTCGCCCCTCAGTACCACTCTGCATTGTTTCTGTGGGAGATTTCCTGTCCTCGTCATATTGCTTGTCTATGGGCAGGACGTGGTCCGCAGAGATTAGGCCATCAACATAGGTATCATGAGCAGGGAACAAGGACGATGTAACGTAATACACCAGTGATGCAACAAAAAACTAGTATAATGTGAGCAAAACACGTGTGAAGGAGATCAGGAGTGCCGTACCCCATACATCCACGCGATGTCAAATAAATGGGTTGCGTACCCTATCTTGATAGCTGGATTGATCGAGTTGATAAGGCCGGGAAACGTGGGGACAACAGTTACTATCATCGCCAGCACTGCGCGCCAGTTCTACATAAGCAGACAAATATATCATGAGGCAGAACATAGCGAGCAGCATCAAAGCTTACAAATCCCCCAGTGTAGCGATATCGTCCTGAAGGGTCATACATAGCGGGAACGTCGACGCAGCCTTTATGCACCAGGTAAAACTGTGCAACGTAAAATGTTAATCGACGACTAGGCACGAGCGGGCATGCTTGTAAATTGTACCCACATCAGTGACCATGATACCAGCAAAAGGGCCAAGGAAAATGGTGTATCCATTCATAAAACTCAAGAACCCCGCGGCACTATCAGTGGATGATAAGGGCTCGACAAAGGTAACATATGGCAAAGACTTACTTGGCGAGAATCTCCCATGGACACAGAGCCCAGCCACCAATAATCGCACACAATATTTGTCCGCGCCTGATATTGATGTACTGTTTGAAATCAGCAATTGTCTGTGGAGAGTATAGACGACGCTCACCTTGGGACACAGAGCTGTCATATCATTTCCCGCTCCAAGTGAATTGGCGCTGATGTTGGTACCAATAGTCGTCAATGCAAATACAAAGGAGGCGAAAAAGGCTGCAGCCCGATTGTCCCAACGATCTATTAACAGAAGAGGGTTCCACAGGACCTCGCCGTAGAGTTGTATTCCAGCACTAGTCACAGCAATTCCAACAAAGCTGCACAGCGTAAATGCGATGGGTATGATGAACGGTTGGACATATTGGCTAAAAACCCATTAGACAACAGCGTCGATTTCAGATTGGAATTCATACGCTCGTTCATTCTTGGCGTAGCGCTGCAAGTTTTTGTGAGTAAATGTGGTAGAAGATATACAAATTCATCTGACTTACAGTAAAATCGGGAATGTTGACCGACAAACTGGCATAAATTCCCAAGGCGCTGTTCATCGCGCTGAGCCATGCCCATGAAAAGTTGTTGCCCTCGATAGCTGCATGCTGGGAAAACAATCCCTGTGAGGCGGGGACCTTAACAAATGCCCATATGATCATTGCAAGCCATGCTATAGGTGTGAGGACACCCTTTGCGAAGAATAACCAACGGATTTTGTGAGGAGTTACGAAAAGAAAGGGAAGCTGGATGAGCCAATAGAGAAAGTAACACAAAAATCCTGATAAATTGTATGGGTAAGGATGTAACGAGGGCAGCAGGGGAAATAATGCACCAGAGCTGGTAATATTCGCGGAGACTGGTAATTGGTTGGGCATATTTGCAATCGAAGGCCAAATGGCTTTGAGCATCTGAATCGTATTTCGAGTCAATATGACCAAAGATTAATAGAGCACGATTCGATGCACCTGATATACGCATTGCGACCCGTTGTATGTCTAAATACATGCATCAGGATTCCTGTCATTGAACGCACTCCCGTAATCATTACCTGTATACCGAACCAGAACATGGATAACAAGACGCGACTGAAGACGGTGAAGTAACTGAACCAGAAGCCAAAAGACGATCGATTTAATACAGGGAAGGCAACATGGAGACGAGCGCCTATCGTGCCGGTCAAAACCATCACTACGGAGATAATCCCATATGCAACCGCAATACATGGCAAAGCCTGACGCCTAGCAATTAATGCAACGTCAGATGAAATGTGCTGTTGGAGCGGAGAACTCGTTCGAGCAGTCATACCAAGATAAACCGATTGCAAGCATGGAGCTAGCCAACTCCCAAACTGCGAGATTGGTAGCATCAGAAATCCAATAGGATATCTAACAAACACTCATTAGTAAATTGTACTGTGGTAATCATTGTGGCATGTCCTACATAATTCCAGGTGCTATGAGGAATCGTCGAGGTTATGAAACAGTTAAACGGTCAACAACTATCGTGCTTACGTCCATGTTCTCAGACGAAGAGGTACCGGGTCCATGTCCTTGTTGCTCCATCCATTGTTTGCGAAAGTCGTTTCTTCACGTTCGAGAGCCCATCTGGAAGGCTTAAAGAAATCGACCAAAACCCCGCTTTGCGCCATGGTTGGCAGCCAAGAACAAGAAACGAGTTCCTGATTTCAAGTCAGTGCGTTTCAAGATATACCTCCACACGAGCGAACAAGTGACCTCCGCACTTATTTATATTGAGATAAGAGTTGGATAAGAGCTGAAAAGTTCACAGACTATCATATTGGACGCTGAGTACTAGCTAATCAGTGACAGCCAAACTTGTGATTATGAACTGCCAACGAACTTGCAATGATACCCCAAAAGGATACCTGACTAATTGACATTTGCACTGAACCACGTGAAACATATACATTCTGTCTCACAAACGGTCAGCCTGGCCTATGATGCCGGCCTTGCTTCCTGCACCGTAGCTCTCAGTGTGACCATTTTTTCTTCAAACCTCTCTTTCATTGAACCGCTGTAGACCAGCGGATTTGGTACGATCACCTCATGTCCGACCCATTCGACGTTATACCATTCGAGGTACGTGCTACTCATATAAGTAACCCCAAACCACACCCACCCGTCTTGTCGAAAGGACATCAAGGGGGAGTGGAAGAAGCTAGGATCAGGTTCTTTCGGGAATGTTTATAAAGGTACCTCATTCAATCTAATACCCATCCAAGCTAACAGATGTACAGGATCATACCTGGGCATTGATGTCGCAATCAAAGAAGTCCTGCCATCCAGCAGTTACAACGTCGCCAAATATTTTGAGAGGGAATGGAGGCTAATGAAGTAAGCTTGCGCCACTGGATACAAACTGTCGTTGAGCGTCGCTTCAGAGAAGCTCGTCATCCAAATGTTGTGCTTTACCTCGGCCTGTCGCGTGCCCCGCCTCCAGATGGACGAATATTCATAATATCAGAGTATATTGAGAATGGTGTGTCCATTTTTTAAAACTTTATCTTCTACTTCTCTTCATACTGTTCATCCAGGAAATCTCAGAACATACATATTCGATAAGACGAAACCTTTTCCATGGCGTCTCCGGGTTTCTTTTGCTACAGACATTTCCCGTGCTCTAGCATACCTTCATGCACGAAAGTGCATACACCGCGATTTGAAAGGCGAAAATCTCCTTGTCACCGCAAACGGCAGATTGAAGATCACCGATTTTGGTTTCGCTCGGATTGCCGCCCGCAACGAAGAGGAAAGCAAGCGTCTCACCTTCTGCGGGACTGACTCGTACATGTCACCCGAAATTCTACTTGGGGAGGAGTTCGATTTGCCCACAGACATTTTTTCTCTCGGCATCATCTTCTGCGAGATCGCCGCGCGGAGGTTAGCTGATGACCGCCATTTCAAACGTACTGGCCCAATGTTTGGCATTGACCCTGAGGAGGTGCACCGGTGGGCTAGCCCCGGTTGTCCACCGGCGTTCCTTGCTCTTGCGTTCGACTGTCTTGCTCAGGATCCAAAGGCACGCCCCACCACTCGCATTATTTTAGACAGGCTAGGCGAAATCGAAACGGAGGTTTTGTCACGTCCAGACACCGAAGACTTTCACGTTGGGAGTATCAGACTTATGACAGGAGGCAGACGCCCGGGTGCTGCTCCCCGCATCCCAAGTTTTGGGGCTGGTGTTGGGAAGGACATCAGGCACAATACGGCCTCCGTCAAAGAGGATGTTCTTGCGGCCCTGTCCAGTGGCGAGGAAAGTAGCGACGAAGAGCCCTTGGGCGCCATGCAAGGTCTGGATCCAAACAGCGATTGGAGCACGGCTGCCAACGGTAAGATTATCGCTTTAGAGTTCCGACGACTTCTAGTAACGTGCTTCGATTGTTGACACTCAGGACACTCGGGTGATAGCACCCAACCTCTTCTCGTCAGTAACTCTAGTACATTGTCAGAATACAGCGCCGCCGCCGACCGGGCCCATGTTCCCACAACTACAGATGACATGCCGACATCTTTGTCTTCCATTATCACTATTCGACCTGCACTTGACCCAAACGGAACGGCGGAACCCACTACCCCAGGTAGTAATACTCCAACGAGCAGCGACTCCATCATGTCTGCGCAGAGTTATCAGACGGCTCAGTCATCCATCCAGTGTTCCACCACAGCGACGAAAGGCCACTCCTCCATCGGTTCTCCGCCCATGCTTCACCGCTTTACTTTACTGAAACCTGGCATAAAGCGTACCAGCGGATCGGTATCCCCAACACGTCATGCCGACGGAGGATGGAACCCGTTAGAACTGATCTTCTCCAGCGGATTACTCGTGCAGAAGTGTGATATATGTTCAAAGAGGATTGGTTGGAAACCTGTTTTGCAGTGTGACGATTGTGGGCTGCGGTAGGTTCCTGACCTCTGATTATAGCGTATCTGATGCATGATCACTATAACTGCAGGGCTCACGTGAAATGCGGAGAAGTTGCTCCTCGGGATCGTAATATTCGTTCGGTAATTCAACCAGCCCTGCACACATCATCGCCCCTGTCAAAGGGAAGAAGCCAACCAAAGAGAGTATCCTTACCCACTTCGATCACGCGATAGGGACCCTGCATATTCTATTCTATCATCGCTTAGCTTTCTAGATTTCTCCTATCAAGCCGCACATAATAGTAAGTTATATCCATCCGACGATAAATCACACTACGTCACTGCCGAGTTACTCGGTATCCTTGCCTTGTATCTGTTTACCTATATTGGTGTATTCCCAGTGTCCTGTACACGTTATCTGATGTTGATGCAAATAGCACTGGTCCACTTGGAGCTCTGGCCGTTATCATTTTACCGTGGCAAAAGTCGTCGACTACACGACTGTGCCGACAGAGTTTACATACACGATGTCCTTTCACACGTTTACCCATAATACTTCAATGGGAGATTATGCATTCATGTGCGTCGATTCTTGATGGTTCAATCTGTTTAAGAACATATCCAATCGACGCAGCTTAGTGTCATTCCGATTCATGGACAGACTATGACCAATTAATTTTTCAACCTCTGCCATATGCGTGACAGCGCAGGCGCTAGACTGTAGAACCCGGGGAGATGCAGCGGCAGAACTCAAGATATCACCGTGATCGGATGACGAGCCAACTCAATTGGGCATCTGATACCGAGGTTGCCAAGACTGATTTTGTTCCAAGTGCCTCCCGTGTCGGCAGAAACCTGAGGCAGCAAATTGGAGTTAATTATCTGCAGTGACAACAACTTGAAGTTGATATGCATGAGAACAGGCTGTAACCAAAGACAAAACTCATAGACTCGTAGTGCATGCTTGGGCCGAGGATTGACCGAGATTAACACGGTATATAACTGAATGGTTGACATTAAAAGAAACAACGCATTCGACTTTGCAAATATGATGCCGGCGGACTAGTACTAGTACTAGTGCCGGCAACAGTGGTCACGGACCACAATGCAAGGACTTGGACCGAGGACTGGCTAATTAATATTTACAATGTTCAGGCTAGTGCACTGATCAATATGCTTTGGAGTGCCATTAAATAATTTTTTTCGTTAATTCCACACTGACTGGCAGAAATGGGTTCTACTATGTTCTACCAAAATAGTTCCGCTTCACTCGAAGGGTGCATCAGATATTACATCATTAGCAAAGACCTCAACCACCGCTTGGTAAGCATATTTCTGATTTTCTTGTCGATATAACCCTCGCGCGTACCTATTCTGTGCTGTTCTGTTCGCGTCACCCTGAACGTCCATCGTCAAGCTAGCTGCTCCGAATTCTGTGACCCCTCCGCGCTTTCACTTTCTATAGCCTACGCATCAGTACCGACGGACGGACCTCGATTGCAGTTACCGCTGCGCATTCCTTGGGGCAGTGTTTCCCCTTCTTGGCTTCTTCACGTGCTCCCATCTTGAAACCCGTGTCTGCCACCCTCTTCATAGTACATACGGAACTTCAAGGGGTGTGATCTTCTTGATAATGTTTTATCCTTTACTAAATGTGAAGTTTTGATCATGAACCAAACCAAGTCTTCGGTCTGCTGGGTGAGATGAAGATGCAATATGAAATTATGATAGGAACATATATATAGACATTAATATTTAGTAGTATGAACGAGGTGGAACTGCAAGCTAGGAGAAGACAGTAGAATTTACTGAAGAAAGAATGCGATGGCCGTGCCAATAGCGGTAACTGACGATGGGAAGAGGCAACTTGACGAGGGATGTCGACTGCGAGTGTGGTCCGGGGATCTGGGACTAGATCTTGGCACGGACGTACCGGGCCTCAGTACTGTCTTAATGCGCTGCGACGGCGTAACTAGGCTCCAGGTCCCAGGAAGGAGGATGCAAAGAGATGGCAGGTACTGTAGAGTTACGCACCCAAGAGGTGTGCGTTCGCAAAATCCCGAACACAGAGCTCAACATTAGATAAGCAAAAAAACCTTAATACATAGCCACATGAAGTTACGAGCGACACGTTTTGAGTTCCTCGCCAGCGGCCTCAAATCATCGTAAAATCGTTGGGCGAGTACTGTAAAGGGGGTGTTTTTACTACTGTAGAATAGGTTTAGATAGTTATCTTAATGAAACACGAGCATGTAAAGACGGTACCTGCTAAATGTCAGATCTTGGATGTGATTTCGGAGAACACGTGAGTGATTAATATCAATACGACGCGTCAATATCGATTCGACGCGTCTCGTCAATGACTCGCATCTCTCTCTCTTAAACCTCATTCATTATGTATTCTACGACGCATCAATTTACACGTTACGACTCATGGTTTGCTTCAAGTAATAACGACAACAAAACTGCATACATCACGGACTTCGAGGACGATTCCTATCAAACGACGCATTACGGATCAAATCATCATTCACATTATTCTAATACATCATCTGGACATTCGTGATTACTTACTTTACGCACCTATTCCAGTCGCATACGTACTCGTTTTCACGCTGCAGCTGTCTGTTTTGCTTTGCGATAATTGAATTGATTCATTTTGACTTAACATTGTACGACGAACGACTACTTAATATGGCTAAATTACATGATCGGTAACGCTGTCATCACGCTGTCACGGTAGGCGTAGGGGGTACCCAAGTTACGACAGGTTAGTGTCTTGAACTACTCGATCGCACACCTCTTGTACGCACCTAAGTTCGACCTGATATGGGTGTGACCGAATGAACATTAGGTTCGAAAGTTCGAAGGGGTGTGTGACGTGTGACATGTTGCGCATAGGTTCGTTGTGTGAGACGACCGACTGGGCTGGGAGTCTCATTAGGCAGACATATTTCTTTCTTTGTACGAGCGCAGAGATGCCCGCGCTCAACCTGGAGACTCCGTCGCTGGCGCTCACCCCTCGGAGCTTCGTTTGCAAGTTCAATTCCGTTCGGCAACATCACACCTTCTTCCTATGTTGCTGCAGAGTCCTGTCAATGCGGATCCGATGTTTGGTGAGCCATAACCCAGCCTACAATGAGGATGCCATCTGAAACATTTCCCCCCTCCCCCAAGTTCACTTTCTGCACTATGCATAACTTAGATGTTGCCCCAGCGGCCAAAATTCAAGATGTTTTATCTGTACCTACACAGTTCTCGATCGCTCCTTAGCTGTGACCACTGACAGTTCGAAGGAGGTTGATGTTGAGGGTCGCGGCAAGCGCAGACGCGTTGCAAATACTCAATATAAGGACTTTTGGCAGCACTAGGACTTTTTTCGTGTTTTTACTGCATGTTTTCGTGTTTTTACCGCATGTCACAACTTAAGTTCGATGACCTCAATATGCGTGTGACTGTCACACGAAATAGGTTCGGTTCGCTCGCCCTGTGATGGTGTGACGAACTTAAGTGCGTAGCTGTACAGTATTGGAAAAAAATGCTGCCGCGAGCTCGGACGTAAGTTTCGTACCTTTTTCTGACGCAGTTTCCGGGGTCCAACATTTACTAAATAACGTCAGTCGAGAATCAACACATACTAGTGTTAACTACATATGTCATGATCATGATACAACACCCATTGCCAGAAGTCGATCTAGAGCCGCCATCTGAGACCGCTAGTACTACATAATATCTGGTTTTGAGTGGACCCACAGCACGTGTGCAACACCTGCCAATATACGTAGCCTATACTTGAGGAGATATGTTAAACCAAGTAAGTACGAAGTTAACTCAGTCTACTAGTGGTGTGCTAGTAATGATTGGGAGGAACGTTTACAAACCATCTTTTCAGGGTTAGCATCGTTACACCAGTCGTTCGACACGTACTCAAGCAGTAATAAAAATGGCAGGTTGAAAAATAATGTCAATCAATTGTCACCGTGACTGTATCGATATCGCGATTATTCGGCACGAGCTTTTAAATTCAAAGCTTTGATACGACTCGCACGTCCCATGCCAGCCATATCAGGAGAGTACAAAATAAGCTCCTCTTCTTGAGTGCGACGGTTAGCTTTCTGCACAACCCACCCCAGCATCGTATCCAGTTCGCAACGTGGAGATGTTGTTCCCCTATGTGCTCGCCGTAACCGCCTTGCTGCTACTGTATCTCCGGCCCTGGTCAAGGAAGTCAGCTGGGCTTCCCCTTCCGCCAGGACCACGTTCACTGCCATTCCTTGGGAATGTCGGTGACATTGATATGGTGCGCCCATGGCGTACATATAGTGAATGGAAGGCGAAATACGGTCAGTACTGCAATCTCGACTACTTTTCCCTCTCACATCTTCAGTAGGTCCCATTGTATCATGTCGTCTGATCGGCCAGACTGTCATCATAATCAACTCTGAGAAAGTTGCACGGCAACTCCTTGATCAGCGCTCAGCGATATACTCTGACCGTCCCGCAGGTCCTGTGCCCAAACTGTGAGGTCGCACTTCCCCCTTGTTATTTGCTCTAATCGCGATAAATCGTTAGTTTTGGCATAGACTTTATCACCGCGTTTCTTCCGTATGGGGATACATTCCGGCTTCATCGACGATTGTTTCACCAAGCATTGCGCCCCGACGCAGCAGATTCTTATCGAGATCTCTATTTGGACAAAGCTCGCCAGCTGTTGTCCAACCTTCTTGGCTCTCCTGAGGCGTTCGAGAAGCACCTTTTCTTGTAAGTTGGCCATTCCTCCCCCACTGACGCCTACAATGACTGAGATGGGAACAGGTATACAGCTTCGATCATCATGTCGGTAACTTACGGATACGATAAAGTCTCTTGGGATGGACCTCCGATTACATCTATCGCCAAACTTGCGGAGTTAATAAATGTTGGCATTCAACCAGAAAGAAGTGCGATACTGACGGCATTCCCTATACGTACGCAAATTTATGCGAGGTAGAACTTCTGGCCTTACCTCGTTGCAGTTACGCGACTACCTCCCTGGTTTCCGGGTGCGTCATTCCAGCGTATCGCGCAGCGTACGCGGACGCTGGCACTCGAGTCTATGAACGAACCATTTGAATTTGTAAAAAGGAATATGGTGAGCGCATGGAATAGTAGTCTTGTGGGCGCGAATACTCAAGGGGCTGAAGGCTGCCGGAAATGCACCAAAGTCAATGGTATCGGATCTGTTGAACGAAATGGACGGGGAAAAGCACGCCTATTCAGAACAGGCAGTGAAACAAGTTGCCTTAACTGTCTTTGTTGGTAAGTGTGTTCGCTTTCTATCATGTTACAGGACGAGCTAACATATTCATAGCTGGGTTTGATACGGTGGGTCCACTATGCTACACTATGATGTAGACTGCGGACAGATCGGACTGATGGATTACACAGAGCTCTTCCACTTTGTCTTCTTTCATACTAGCAATGGTTTTACATCCTGAGGCTCAGCGGCTCGCTCAACAAGAAATTGATTCTGTCGTTGGCATTGATCGGCTGCCAGATTTTTATGACCGACCGTCTTTGAAGTATGTGGAGGCTGTTTTTCGGGAAGCCATTCGTTGGCATATCGTTGCACCAGTTGGTGAGAGACTTAATGTGTCAACTATGTCGTTCTCAACATTGTTTCGACAGGTCTTCCTCATGCAACATCAAGTGACGACGTCTTTGAGGGCTATTTCATTCCAAAAGGTTAGTCGGCTCATTCTCTAGGTTTGCATCCCTAGTAATGTGACGTGTTTCACTGTAGGCTCTCTCGTTGTGCCTAACATATGGTTTGCGTCGATTTTTTGACGAGTCTTGGGCTTTGTAACTTAGTCGCCTCTTCAGGGACATGTCCAGAGAAGGACACGATGATCCTGATGTTTTCAGACCGGAAAGGCACTTTGCAAGTGACGGGACACTTTTACCAGACACGATAGCAGCCAAACCTATGTGGGGTTTTGGAAGGAGAGGGTAAATGGATCAAACCCATCCAAGAATCGTTTTTCTTACAAGCTGGTTAGGTGCCCAGGGCGTTTCATCGCCGAAGCTGCGACGTGGAGTGCGGCGGTGCATCTCCTTGCAGTGTTCCGGATAACGAAGGCAGTGGATGAATCAGGGAAAGAAATTGAAGTGAAAGAAGAGTTCACCTCTGGAGTGGTCTGGTATGTTCTTGTGCGTTTGAGACATGAAGCGTCGGCATCCTCACCACTGCCGATTTTGTAGCCGACCCGTGCCGTTCCAGTGTTCTTTTGTCCCCCGATCAACGGACAGGGAGAAGGCAATCCGCTTGGGCGATTAATCTTGGATGGGGGCTGGGACCTGATTATTCTAGCGAGTTAGTTAGTTATGTAACTTGTAGTAACTCTTCGCGATTATGTATTAATTACATTGTACTTGATTACTTTTCGTATGTAGCTACGTCGACGATCGTGTTTTCATCCGTGATACTTGGTCGGTAACCTAATAATTAACCGTTCGTACGGTGGCAAATCCCATTTCCAATGGTAATTTGTCTCCACAGTGCACAACACTGCAGATTTGCAGTTCCATCAGCGGCTTACGATAAAAATCATCGCTTTCAGGTTCTCATAGAGACAAGTGCTTCGAAATCTACTGCCTAGAAATAGTCAGACTTGACTCGGATCTGGGGTAGAAGGTACGTTAGTATGTCAAAGCATCGCACATTCTGCAGATCGGCTTAGTCGAAGCCCACAAAGTATCATCGTACAATACGGCACATGTCTCGTCAGCAACAAGATGCAGATCCCAACACCCGGTTCAGACAAAGATCAAACACGACAACCTTTGCCCCATTTGCCTGGCGACGCAAAGCCGACACCATATCCACTACCGTCCAACCCCAGACACAGCCATTGACCTTCGATGCCCTCGTTGAGGCGTTGACTCCTCCTGCAGTCCCAAGTCTCACACATGCACGTTCCTTGGCTACTCTTATAGCATCGCAATCACCGCTGCCTCAACCATCCGTGCTGAACCCAGTATGGGCTGCACTCTGCAGTCACGATTCGCCTTCCTCACTGCAGGCAGCAGGGTATGAAATCATGGCAACGTTCTGGGAGAGATTTGACGGCCACCTGGGTACGGCAGATATCCTTCAATATTTCTCTCTATTCTTGCATACCGTCTGGGCTGCCGATGTAGGAGAACCTCGACTGCGAGCTCTACGGGCTCTCACAAGAGGGGGAACCGAAGTCATCGGGATCGAAATCCCATTACTTAGCTTGCTCAGGACATGGACAGAAGGCGCCTTTGATGCTTACATGTCGGGCGATGCGTCCGATCCTACTGAACGTGCAGAGCGAGAGCGACACATTGATCTTTTGGCTACCTTCCTATCTTCTGTACTGGAGCAACCAGAATCCGCAGCTCGTGTATCTGAAGGTGACCTTGCCAGCATCCTTCAGTTCTATGCTAGTCTTCTTGGTCGAGCGTTGACAGTACCTCCCCTGAGTCCTGCTGCTGATCCCGTACCCTCACCACCTCTCGCCGCTCACACCGATCAACCTGCCGGCGTAAAAACGACTATTGGGGCTCACAGACGTCATCCATCATCTATATCAATCCGTTCCATCTCATCCCCACATTTACCTTCTCGAAAACACCCGGCAGAGTTGATGGTCATTATTTATCTAGACCACCTCAGTTCGCAGCTCAAAGCGCTTGCGCCAAAATTCTTGACGCTCATTCTTCCTGTCCTCTTACGCGCGCTGGCCTTTTTCGCTTCCCCTCTACCCCGTGTGTCCATAATGACAGGTCGCACTCATACGCCAGCTAGCTTAGAGGACAGGATTCAAAAAACTTTGAACGTGTTGTTTTCCGGGCCATACGGTAGTTCGTGCATGGCAATACTCAAACGACACCTTCTTCCTCCTACCGATATTGGGAAGGACCTTCATATCGCTCCAATCATCGCTCTTGGTGCGCACAGAACACTGCGAAACATCATTCGCCAAGGACTATGCACAAAAATGGCTCGCGCATACATTTGCAGACTGACATCCGTCTCATACCCCACTGCAGGCGTTCCCGGAAACAAGGATCTCGAGAAAGATCTTATGGAGCGGGCATGGTCGAAGGATGATATATCTGGATGGGACCATACAAGGCTCGGAAGATTGCTCTGCAAGTCGGTTGAAGCTTGGGTCAAATTTACGCCAGCGGATAATAGGGAGGATTATGACATGGAGAAGGACAAGATAATGGATGAAGCGGCATGCACCATGAGAGACATCTTTCAGGAGTTTGATGAGAGGGAGGATGGCGTTGATATGGACGATGAAGAGGCATGCGTTGCAGGAGCAACTCTTCGCCAGCTTACCAATTTCGTTCGTCCGATCAGGTGTGTTTGCTCGTTTTACGGGCAAGTGCGTACATTCTAACTAATTTCACAGGACCATGGATGGAGCGCCTCTGATCCTACCGCTAGACCAGCCTACCGAGGCCCCTACGCCATTCTTACGCACCCTTTCATCCTTGTTGGCTCGAGACCATTCAACCTACATGATTCCGCTGCTGTCCACCACGCTCTTCTTTATTGCAGACCATCTCACCGATGCAGACACCGCCAAACTCCCAAGTATGATGTTTGAACAACATGATCTGTCACCTGCATCGCCAGATTGGTTGAAGAGCTGGGAGGATATTCTTTCAAATCCCACTCTATTTGCTCCTACCCGAGCGCTAACGCGGTTGGAAATCATGAAGGCATTACGATCCGTCTACGACTCTCTCAAGGATATGCCTAGCTACAGGAAGTCTCTGGCAGACCTAGTGTTCGATTTTTGTCGGGTGCAGGCAGACAACCCGCAGGAAGACCTGACATTCGACAGCAGTGTGGCATGGAGGATATTGGGTGATGAAGTAGTCCTTCGTACAGTGGAGGCGCATACTGCGTCAGCATCGGTGTCCCCATCTTCAGAACCCGGGACTCCGGCTCTCTTCGCACCTATACGGGAATTGATAGACCTTTTGACAGCTGTTGCTGTCGAAGGAGGAGTCCAAGAGGATGACGATGACACTGGATGTGCCAACACTTCTGACACGCCAGTATCACCTGCATTTTCCTCCAGTAGTGCTTCGGCTGTTGTAACTCCTATGCTCTCACGAAAGCAGTCAGAGCAACGTGGCGGAAATGCGAGAGACAGAGATTCGAATATGCCCTCTGTCATGTCAATTCTGTCATCCCTTGCGGGTTCTCGCTCTCAGTCCCAACACTCTCAAGAACATGAAAATGTCCGCCCTCCATTGGTCGCTTCCCCTGTATCAGAGCCAATATTGCCTCGAGCAGCTGTAGCAGTAGTGTCGTTGGTTTCCATATTCAGCCAACTCGCATTCACTCCTCATGCACTACTCCAGCGTAATGTCATTTTAGCAGGCCAGATATTCGATACTTTAGTCCAGCTCATTGGCCAGGCAAAATCCCCCCGCACTCGTCTCACCGTTCTCCAGTTCACCATGCGAATCCGTGCCGACAGGGACCACCGCCTTTATTTCGTCGACGCTCATTATGACCCAGATGGCAATATCATGACCTTGGCATCGCTGATTGGCCGGATACCAGAGCCATCGCTTTTTGGACAAGCACAGCAGTCAGAAGATGAGAGGGCTAGTTCTGGTGACCTAAACAACGATGACTCTCATGTGCGCAAACCGCAACATCGAGGTACTCAAGAACGTGATGGGAGACGAGCATCTCGTGGGAGAGGACTCAAGCCAAATCACTCGGCAGGCAGCCGCAGTCGGTCGAGAGCACCGTTGTTAACGCCATCACCCAGTACAAGTCAGGTAAAATCGCAGGAGACCCTCTGGCAATTTCCCGAATCTCTTCCATTCACCTCGGTAGACCCGGACAATCCAAGCGAGGGCATTTTTTCCTATGATCCAATATCCGAGTCTATCGGTGTCCTATCCATCAACTCTTATTTGTCTGCCATCTTCGACGTCCTAGAGAAAGAAAGAAATTGGGAAATTATCTCTTATGTGCTCTGTCATCTTCCCGTCCAACTCGCAAACAAACACTTGTTTTGTGGCCCCAAGTGTCGTGAGGTGATCGCGAGGTTGCTGACGTCTCTCTGTTCTGGACTGGCATGCGGCGGATTAGCATCCAGTATTGATCGATGGCCTCTCGGTCTCAAACCTCGCGACGCTCATGGGCTGGCATTTCACACACTCACCGTCCTCATCAGCTATCGGCGGCACTTCGACTTGCCGTTGCGACACGCTATTGTTGATGTACTTCTGAAAGGCTTGGATAGTCAGCCCACGACCATCACCTGCTGCCTGCAGGCTTTGACGTTATGTGCCTTCGAGCTTCTGCCTTCGCTCAAGAGGTCCCTACCATCAATCTTGGAAAAGCTGTCGCAGATCATGTCCAACCCAGACATGGCTGTCCACATCCTCAGCTTCCTCTCCATTGTCGGCTCCATCCGCGCGCTACATGCTAATCTGCGAGAAGAAGACTTCAAAATGGTGTTTGGTGTTGCGCTGCAATACCTTCAGCATCACAATCGACGTCCTGGTGCAACTCCCGCAATATCATGGGGAATGTCTCAGTATGTTCGGTCGATTTCGTTCTATGTGGTATATGTTTGGTTCTTGGCAGTCAAGCTTCCACATCGTCATCGACATATTTCATATATCACTCGCCAGTTGCTACTAGCAAACGAGGGAAAGGATGACATTGACGAACCTACCGAGGTATGCTTCGACTGGCTGGCGCGATATGCATACGCCAGCGCCGATCCACGACCTGCTCGTTCGACGCTGAGTGAGATTGTGATGAACCCAAATAATCTGGCATCCCCGGACCCTGCTGTCAGTGAAAAGACATGGATTTTGGGCAATTCTGTCGTCACCATCCGCGCTTTGGCTCGCCTTGGTTGGATTGAAGTCCTATCTCGCCGCCCTTCTGGGTTGACTAGGTTCCTCTGCAAGCTAGAAAATATACCCTTAGTTGGGCCCGGTGATGTTGATCCTGATATGGTTTCTGTGGCTGCGGGCATGATGATGGAGCGCGATGTTCCGCGCCCTGAGCGCCCCGATGCAGGCGTCGATCGATCGCTAGCAACGAATCCTCGTAGTGTAAGTCGGGACTCTTGTTCACAAACTAAAGGGCTCATCCATTCTAGGACACAATCTCAACCGTTGTCGTAGGGGATGATGGTAGAGCTGCACCGCCAGCACCAGATCCAATCACTGGCTATGTGTGGAGTAATACTGCTCCTTCTCAACGTCGAAAATACGTTGCCGTCGATCCCGCTTTCTTCGCCCTCCAGCTTTCCCCTTACCCTGATAGGAACCAACCCGCTAGCCAGCGGATGGTGGATGCAGCGTTGCTTCCGGCCCTCTTCCGGTCTTTGGATCAGATTCCCGTGATTGATACCCATAAAGTGGGAATCATGTACGTTGCACCTGGCCAGACACATGAACTTGATATTTTACGGAACACCCATGGGTCGCCTGCTTACACAAGATTCCTCGAGGGCATTGGCAGACTCATCAATCTCCGAGGTCAAGTCGACGTTTATGCGGGTGGTTTGAGTCCGGACGAAGACGGCGAATACGCCTATGCATGGTGGGATGATATAGGTCAAGTCCTCTATCACACCGCTACGATGATGCCATCCAAACCTCACGACAAGTACTGCGTCGATAAAAAACGGCATATTGGAAATGACTATGTCCGAATCGTGTGGAATGACTCTGGAATTCCCTATCGGTTTGACACACTTGCCACTCAGTTCCAATTCGTGAACATCGTCATCGAACCCCATTCCCTTGGCGCAATCGCTGCCTTTTCTAATAACATCCACGAAAACGAGTATTTCAAGGTCACTATCCAACGTGCCTCTGGCATGAGTGACTTCACACCTGTCGGCGATTTCAAGCTCATATCGGCGGAACAGCTCCCTTTGCTGGTCAGGCAACTCAGCTTACTGGCGGATTGTTTTGCGTCTGTGTTTGAACGCACAGAGCGAGACACCAAGGAAGTCGAGGTAATCAGCAACTGGCGTGCCCGACTCCAAAAGATCATGACGTTCAAGAGGGAGAAAATGCCACCCCTGCAGACTGGGGGTGAAATCGAAGAAGTAATGGGGCAGGAGGCCTATCGCAACTTCACAGCTACATTCTAGGCCTTGATTGTATTTGCAATGCTACGTCGGTGGATATTTTACATTGAATATCATCTCTTCTTTACAATTTACTCATTGTTCAAGCTGTTCTTTGATCTCCATACATGCCAGGGTCTGTTACTTGTTGTATTGTTTACCACTGCTTATGATTTGCATACTGTACAAGTACGTTCACACACTATGATTTTGCGATGGGGAGGGAATAATTAGTTTGTCAATACGTGACCAATTATATCAATCACCCAGACTCCGGCGATATGATTATGGTAGTGACTCAATCTTATGAAGGTCCAAACGCAAGCTCATGCTCGCAGGGGACCGTACGGTCCAGGCATGATGCTTGGAAATTCATAGGATGAAATTCATCAAGGAATCGTGAGCTACAATCAATTCAATCAATAAGAGCTACCCTGCTATCAATAACGGTCCTAAACAATGCTGGATGTCAGCTGCAGTGAGTACGATTCCTGAACTCCAGGGTTCACCCAAAATGAGGGAAGAACGAGCTGTTGTGAGAGACGAATGCGGAAACAAATCTTGGTCAAGTGGGCGGAAATTATGGAGCTATTAGGTGAGTTTACCGGCAGGCAAAGACTCGTCACTAAGAGGGCTGTTGCTGAGCATATTGCTGTTGGTAGTACTGGGCGTAGTTCGCTGCATAATCCTGTGTGCCGTAACCTGGGTAGCTTTGCTGGCCCCACTGCGCGCTGTACCCAGGAGCGCTGTAGCCACCGTAAGCTTGGGGTGGGCGGTATCCTTGATTTTGTGGAGGATTGTTGGATTGCCAGGACTCTGGTCGACGCCAAGGTGGAATGTTGGACCCGCCTGCAGTAATGTCATGACCAGCACTGGGGGCACCCCACGAGCTCTTGGCAGTATCGCCGCCTGTGCCTCTGCCACTCTCGCCAAGCTCTGCCATCAGGCTAGCGTACTCAGAGTCGAACCCTCCCTTGTTCATAGGAGGCGGGCTGCCCATAACGATAGCGTTGGGGTCCTTGTTAACGGTACAGTCGCGCGCCATGTGGCCTGCACTACCACAGACACGACATATGATGTTAGCTGTGAAGTTGCGCTGTTCTGGACAGTCGTATTTTCGGTGACCGAGACCGCCACAATTCTGACAAATCTGGTTTTCGTCGTCACGAAGGGTGCCGTTCAATGCAGCAAGCTCGCGGAGCTGATTGCGCTTGTGATCATTCTGACCCTCGGGAGTGGAGGCAGCCTAAGAAACCTTGAGTAAAAGATCAATGGTGGCAAATTGGACTTCTTACTGTTTCAATGACCCTGTTGATCATCTTCACGCATGCTGCAACTTTCTCTTCAGAATCAGCGAGAACGAGACAGTGGAGATCTTCTTCTGCATCGTCAGCGTACTGGTCAGGACGAGCTTTGCCTTCCTTTACGCTTCCTTTGCCACGGATACTGATTTTGGCACCGCTTTCCCTCTCCATCTTCTTCAAACTGTTACCACGAGGACCGACAAGAAGACCAAAGAAATTGATTTCAGGGAATTCCTTGACAGGAATGTAAACTTTTTCGGATGGACGTTGAGAACGCTTTTGCTGGTGGTATTCGACAGGAGGGCGGAAGTTGGGATCATTCTTCATAGCGCGATCGACAAGGCGAATCCGCTCGTCTTCGAGCTTCTTGCGATAGCGGACCTCGCGGGTGTTAGTACGGCGACCATGACCATCATATGTGGGTGGAGGTGAGGGTGAACTGATGCCAGAATGAGCATATGCGTTTGTAGAAGTCAGGTTATCGCAAACTTACCGTTCACGCTCAGGAGGGATGAAATCATTTAACCGCAGCTTACGATTAATCTCTTCCAGCCTAAGGTGAATTGCATAATTGTCGAGTTGTGCCTGAGAAACGCCGGCAGCGGATATGGCAGTGGGCAAACCAGGGATGTCTGTCTTTGCTTCTCCCCAGCGGCTGCGCCTTTTGCGAGCACCATTAGCGTCAGCTGTGGGTAAGTGAAAAGCACATGGTATCAGGGTTAGTAACACAGTCAGTTAGTGATTAGTAAGATTGTAACAGTAATCGCAACAGACGAGCTGCCAGGATCACCAGCAAATCTCACAGGACCTGCTATAGAGAAATGCTTGGCAAGGAAGCACGACTTGGGAAGTCGGTGTTCAAGAATGATGGGCTTACCCTGAGAATTGGTGGGGGTCTCCTCCCTCCCCCTCCTCGAGTCTTGGTCTTGATTGGACTGTTTTGGATAGGCAGAGGGGGATGGCTGGGCAAGTTGCGGGCGCGAAGTTTCTTCTGCGGGTGCGGGTCCAAACCGACGACGGGTGCCCAGGGGAACTGACAGACCATTTGTGAGATAATTTAAGGTTCTGTCACAAAAACTGGACCAACCTTCATTTGTTCCAGTAACCTCGCGAGTAGCAGGCCTCCACATTTTTAAACTGGGATGTCAACAGGAAAAGGCTCGAGAGCGTGACGGCGAGTGCAACGAATTGAATTGGAGGATGCTGAGCAAGATGTAAATCAATCTCCGAACCATGTCTCCAGTCGTTTATGGGCTCCGCTCAAAAATGAGCTTGCTGACAAATCAACTTTAACACTTCTTTCACTCAACTCCAACATTAATTGGGGCTTCAAAGCTTCAAGTTCTATTGTCAGTTCCTCCATCAAATTCCACGAGGGCCTTACCTTGTTTATCGGAACAAGCTTGGATCCATTGCGATTATAACATGCAACCGCACCGCATCGTGGTCTGTCGCGGCTACAATTCAGTTTTGCCAAATTGCGAGGCTCGTCAGCACCCGCATGTCTCAATTAACTAAACACAAAGTCCTGGTGGCCCCTTTGCTGGTCCCCCTACTTAGGCCTGTCTAATTATTTGAGTATTCTTCAAATATACTACTCAAGCTAGTACTGTTGCGCTTTGTTCTAGGTATTACAGCCATTCGTCACCACTGACTATCCATTCCCTACCCTACACCAACTAACTCTCAACCCTCGCCCCCTGCAACTGACTCTTTGATCACACACCCGGCAGCAATCTGCACATTGTGCCCGATTCGTGCCTGCATGGGCCACTGCCTACCAAAAGCTTTCTTTTCATAAAGGTCACTCACTAACGTTTTCAGACTCCGAGCATCTTCCCGTTGTTACTCTCAAACGTGAAAGCAATCACTCCGCTTATGAAATTCGTGAACAGTACAAGGCCTAAGCCCAATTGTGTATCTCTTGAATATTTCTAGCAAATGGAGGGGCAGCTACATTAATACTAGTGTTCCGTTTTCGACACAGGCAGTTCATGCACGTTTTTAACTGTCCGATACTCGGGGCCCGGGTGCCAACAATTGTCATAAACCCCAGCAGACCATTCAAACTGTCACTATTGTTTCATAATGCTACATCACGGAAGGCTCAACTGGTGATGACATCATAATTTTGCAAGCTGGCGGTAGTGACGGTTCTAGTCAACCGTTGAGGTGAATTTTGAGGGTAGCTGCAAAGCTTACCTGAGCGCTGAATCCGAGTTGAATCGATTGATAACTTATTGGGTTACTTAGGTTCTGCTGAAAGTTGGAGGTAAACTTAAAAAGCAAGATTGCCTGCTTGTCCATAATGCATAATGTCTTGTGGGACAGCACCTATCTCGAAAGTCCAATTTCTTGCAGCGAGAACATTTCCCAGTAGTAGCAGTAGTAGTATAAGTCAGTGTGTCAATAGATTGATGGCCCGGAGAGAGCTTGAATCACCGAGCTGGGGACCGGTGCGGTCACGTGCATGCACAACATTCAACTTTACTGCAACTCACTTACTGAACTGAGGCTGCCTTGCGATTATCGATACCTTTCCTTTTCTTGTGATCTCTGCTTTGGCTATTGCAGGATATGGGTGTAGCGGGACTCTGGGAGGTTTGTTACATGAGTTGATACGAAAGTTTGCTCTAAGTCACGGTCTAATAGGTGCTACGACCTGCTGGACAAACACAGTCATTAACACATCTATCTGTTACCCAAGGATTTGAAGCAAATGCTGGTGGTCGACGAGGCTTTCGCATAGGCATCGATGCCTCAATTTGGTTCTTCCATGCCGCGTACGGTAAAGAAGGAGAGAATCCGGAACTGCGCACACTCTTCTTTCGCTGTTCCAGACTCATGAGCATGCCTCTCCTCCCACTCTTCGTATTCGATGGTCCAAAAAGGCCTTCTGTCAAACGCGGGAAGAGAGTAGGCGGCAACGCACACTGGCTCACTACTGGAATGAAAAATATCATCGTTGCTTTTGGTTTTGAATGGAGAACGGTGCGTCTACGCGAAAAGTGACGACGAAAAGAATATTTATGATGCACAGGCTCCTGGAGAAGCCGAAGCTGAGCTTGCATACCTGAATCGTATGGGAATCATCGATGCTGTCCTCTCCGATGATGTTGATAACTTTCTATTCGGTGCCACTATGGTTATCCGCAAGTAAATCCTATCACCCTGAGCATACTGTCGAAAGCTGACTTTTGTATAGTCCCAGTAATACACTTTCCGGAAACCGGGCGCACCCAGTGAAAAACGCTGACGGACGTGATGACGGAAACCACGTCGTGACGTATCGCGCCGCTGATATCCTCTCCCACGACGATATCTGTCTCTCGCAAGGAGGCTGTATTCTAATTGGCCTCCTCTCCGGCGGAGACTACCATCAGGCTGGCGTTCAGGGCTGCGGGAAGCTCATTGCCGCTGCCCTCGCACGTTGTGGATTCGGAGACCAACTGCTAGAAGCTGCCAACTCCCTCACCCGCGAGGAGCTAGAGAAATGGCTTGACACTTGGCGTGACGAAGTGCGCGAGGAACTGCGTACGAACAAGAGTGGCCTCATCGGATCGAAGAAGCCTGCACTCGCAAAGAAGATTCCTGATGATTTTCCTAATGTCGATATTCTATTATCCTACACCAATCCTATCACGAGCGAGACAGAGGGTAAACCCACGCGAGACATTACTTGGGAACAAGAGCCCGACATTGGTAAAATTTCTGCACTTTGCGAACTGTACTTCGAATGGGGTGTGAAGGACGTGATCATCAAGCGTTTTCGCACAGTTTTGTGGCCAAGCGCCGTGCAACGTATCCTGCGGCGTGGTGCAATAGAAAAGGACGAGAAGAAACGCAAAGGTTTACCGATGAGCCCTAAAAAGAGCAAGACAACAGGCAAACTTGCGCCGGGAACGCCCTCGAAGATGATTACAAAGTACTTTTTGTCGATGAAGCTCCACTCTCCAACCAAAGACAACCGGAAGGAGCAAGAGCACAGTGATACTGAATCTGAAGCAGAAGAAGATAGGCTGATTGTCAAGATTCACTCCTCGCGACGGCACGCGTCTACGGATGGAATTCTTGAGTACCGGCTGGAGATCGCCCCTGCGCAGCTTGTACAACTAGCTGGCGGCGGTGTTCAGGGAATCAGGCCCCCAATCGAGGTAGATGCTGCCTTCGATGATACCGAAGGGGATGATGAGGATGAGGAGGATGGCGGAAAGCAAAAGGGCAAGGGAAAGGGAAAGAAACCTCCACCAGACCCCAAGAGCCACCTTCGTGTGTGGATGCCAGCATGTATGGTGCAGGCTGTGGAGCCGGAGCTCGTCGAAGCGTTTGAGGAAATTCAGCTCAGAAAGCTGGAGAAAAAGACCAAGCGATCGAATAAGACAGATGGAAAGAAGAAGGCTGCTTCCACTGCGCAGGGAGATAGCGATGCAGATTCCCTCCCTGTTCTAGTCTCCACGAAAAAGAAACCTACCCGTCAGAAGAAAGCCATGGTGAAACGGCAGGACAGCGGGCTTGCTCCTCCCTCTCTCCCAATCACCAATGCTTCCGACGGTCCTTTCCTGGAGCCTGAGAGTACTGTTCATGTTGATACGTCCCGGCCGTCCCAAACTGGTTCTCAGAAACATACGAAATTATCTGACTCAGATTCTCCACACTCCTACATAACTAAGTCTCCAAGAAAATCATCGCAGCAGACATCGCCGCGTTCGTCTGGCTTAATCAGGCCCACGGGTTCAACATCATTTATACAGCCGATGCGCAAGCTTGACGACATCATTGATATCTCGAACATGACGGAGAGGAAAAAGAAAGATGGTTCCATCGCACAAGGCGGCAGCGATAAGGATGCCCTCCCACTTTCATCCCCTCCGAAGAAGACAACAGTCCGTCCAAAGAAAGCAGTTGTGGAACCCCGTGTCACCGTGCATGCTCCTCGCCCTTTCCCGATGTCAGGTTTCATCAGTACTTCTGACGATCCTTTCACAGAGCCCGCGAATTCTATTCGCTCTCATATACCCCAGCGGTCCTCACAAACCTGCTCTAAGAAGCATACCAAATCGTCCGACTCTGAATCCCTCCAATCCGCTGTAACCAGATCTCCAAGGAAAACGCCGCAGCGGACATCCCCGCGCTCGTCAGGCTTGATCACGCGCCCGAATTCACCATCACTCGTGCAGTCTATCCACAAGTTTGACGATGTCATTGATATCTCTAGTGATTCCGATGTGCCATTACCACCCACAAAACTTTCTGTCAAGGCACCCCTGTTGCTGGCCAGAGAGAAAGCCAAGAATGGGAATGGTTTATCTTACCTCAAAAACAAACGCCCTGGCCGAGTCGAGTCGACGCTCAAGAGCCAATCAACGAGAATAGTCGTGGCAGAGAACGACATCATTGATTTGACTTGCTGAATCGCTCGTTATGAGGATTGGTTGTAATTCGAGTTTTTGGTTGTACAACAAGCTTGTATGTGTAGTAGACGGATCTACAGGATATACCCTCTGTATGTTTTGAATGTGAAGTATTTTCAGGTGGTTATTCTCTATGAGTTCGTGGATCTTAGAATTATTATTGGAGCTACACCACTTATTCTAGTCTGCCGAAGATTTTCTTGTCTTTTATGATGATCTGACATACGGTTCCCTGAGCTCATCTCATCCCTCGGGATACACGAGGCCGTTTATTACATACACACCTATGAACATGACAGTACCACAAGCTTGACTATTGGCAACTCGACAAAAATGGTGAGAGCATTGAGCAATCTATGGACGAGTGGATGTGAAAGCGAATACTAGCGGAGACAGTGGAAGGTATTGATACACCATCAATTGAAAATGAGTGGCAGTACAGTAGTAACTCATCGGAAAACAACAGTTCGTTAAAATCAAGAAAACAATGAACAGAAACACATAACGTCCATTTATATGACAGTGAAAATTGATACTAATCGTGTAGTCGGGTGTGCCGAGTCGCTGACATACATGCCTAACCACCGGCCTTGCCGAGCAAAGCATAGCCATTTCCTGCTGGGCCGTGCAGCTACATCGCACATAAGCAATGTGGAAAACAAGAAAAAAGGGGGTCACCGTACCTTTGAGTAGCATCGGTGGCAAAGGGGATCCCCGTCTTTCTCGGTCAACCTAGTGGAATCTAACGGAGTATTGCACTCCTTGCACCTCAAACATCCCTTGTGCCAAGTCTTTCCTATGGCCTTCATCTATCTCACGCATATCAATCAAATTCACACCAGCCCCTCGATAAAAATTACCTGTTCAGCGAAATAAACATTCTTCCCACACCGCGGACACGTTGGAGTCGTGCCCGCAGAAAATGCCTTTACGGGAGTGCCACCGCTACCAAATGCTACGCCATACCTTGTGCCGGTGGAAGTTTGCTGCAACGGCGTCATCGGAGATGAACTTGAGCGTGCAAGTGTTACAGAAGATAATTTCGGGGTGGACGTAGTATTAGTTCCATTGCTTGCTGATTTTGTTGGGCTCAGTGGGACAGTACGCGGCATGTCGCCGATGCGTACTGTGCTAGTAACTGTCCCCGTAAATGTGAGGGCTGATTCCACCGGCGTCTCTTCTCTCACCCCCTCGTGGTGCAAGATTGTGTTGACAGTTTGATTCGTGTTTTCAGAGCTAAGCTCGACAATAGGGTTGTTGGGTGAGCGATTGAACCGTGCGGGGAGGACCGAGTTCGCTTTGAGGATGGGCGATGGCGACATGGCACCATTCGTATAGCGTCCTGTGCTTGAGTTTTGCGCACGCACCGGTGATCGCGCATCTTGTCGCTGGCTTAGATCGACTGATTCACCACGTATGAAAGTGGGTGCAGGGAAGGAGTTGCGCACAGGTGATGCAGGAAGTGGTGGAGGTGTGGCCATATCATTGCGATGAGGGAGATTGGCATGTCTCAGGTCGCGAGTGCCGAAATTTCGAACGTGACATGTTTTGCTGTAATTCAGATCAATGATTGAAAGACACGAAGAGTCGTGGGGACTACCAGTATGGCTAAGCAGGAAAGGGTGAGCTACACGATGCATAGTAGATTCATAGGCAAGACGTACCTCCTGATCGTGTTCAAGAAGCGTCAATGAGTCTAGCCTCTTATTACATGTCGTGCAGGCCAGGCAAGGCTGACCGGACTTGTTGTAAATCACACGAACCTAAGCGTGTGGGTGAACTCACCTTGTGATAGAGCTGATTACGTTGATTAATAACATTTTGTATTGCAGAGTACTATCGATCAGCCCACCTTCCTACCAGGTCCCATCACCTGTCGGATATCAATAAGAAATTACGAAGCATGAAACGAGGCTGCTCACCTGTTCTGCAGCATAAACAGCCTTGTTGCATCTAGGACATATCGGTGTACCGCCAAACGGGTGCATGGCAGCTATGTAATATAACCGACTTGTACCTGATCGAGCTCAAGCTACAGATTGGTGCAAGCTTGAAAGATGGTCGTTCGTTGTCGCTTATGCGTGACTATGTACTTCGGAGGAGTAACGGGAAACATCCATCGGAGATTGAAAGCTATATCGCTTTTTTGCTACAGGCCAAATCTTTCGTCCATCGCCATCTCCCTCTTATCCAGTTCATAGATTTTTTGTTTTCTCTTCTTATTCTGTCATCATGTCTGACGATGAGCAACACAACCAGCAGTTTGAGCAGGTCCGCTTATTTTATCTACAATGTTTCGCGATCATGCTAGACAACTGATCTCGCGATGATCATCATTTAGGCTAGCGCAGGTGCCTCGCTCACTTTCCCTATGCAATGTTCTGCGCTCCGCAAAAACGGTCACGTTGTCATAAAAGGTGCGCTAGACTGTATCTACCCTGCATTGCCGGCCCGACAACATCATTCCAGGTCGTCCCTGCAAGATCGTTGAGATGTCCACCTCTAAGACCGGGAAACACGGTCACGCAAAGGTCCATCTCGTTGGTGTCGACGTGCGTCTATGTTCCACTAAACCTACGAATTGCTGCTTCAATTTCCGATCACACAGATCTTCACTGACAAAAAGATGGTAAAGTATCAATAGTTGACATGGTCATAAGCGCTACCGCTTATGGTTCCTGTATCGTCCTTTTTATAGGAAGATATTTCCCCTTCCACCCACAACATGGACGTTCCCAACGTGACCCGTACTGAATACCAGCTCGTGAGTATGCTGTTTACCTTCCTCTCCTGTGGTCACTCAAACCCCCAGTAGCTTGGTGTCGATGACGGCTTCCTCAATCTCATGAACACTGACGGAGGTACTAAGGATGATGTCAAGCTTCCTGACAGCAAGCTTGGCGAGGATATTTTAGCTGGCTTCGAAGTCGCAGACACCGTTATGGTCACAGTCACCGCTGCGATGGGTGAGGAACAAGTACGTTCATCATGCAGCGCCCTTGCAGTTCTTCGATTTTTAATGCACGTTCCAGGTTACATCTTTCAAGGTCTCCAATCAGTAAACGTATGTCTTTGCTTTGACCATATCCTCTGTTCGCGATTCTCACACAGCTTGTTATCAAGGTCTTTCACTTCTGATTGTCGCACACGTCCTGTCATTTTTCTGTCACGTCAGCTATTCTTACTTTTAGTCAATATCTGCGCATGTACTTTCATCAAGGCATTGTACTGAATGTACATCAGTATGACTAGGTTCCGATGTTGGAATAAAGAATTATGTATTTCATGTTGTAGACAGGAGTCATTTATGGAGGAGATCGCAGCAAACCACGTCCAGATAGTAAGAATTAGTACCCTTACACCCTTGCATGCTCCGGTCGCCCACAATAGTTCTTTCCCCTTACTAATACTATCGCCAACACAGCAACCCAGTATTCTATCTGCTGTGCATGAGACGTGCAACTTGACCTGGCGCGAGGCAGACGTGACCATCTTAGTCGCATTTGTAGCTTCTATAGTTCAGCAAGCAAAAATTGTTTATTATTTTCTGTATTTTATTTCTATATTATAAATATAAGCTTTATTTATAGGTTGTTTGGTTGAGCATCATTCCTGAAAGTGCACAGGACTCGGTATTTTGATTCTTGGACAGTGACCACTTGGTGACCACGACAAGTAATATCACCCACACGGACAAACCCTCGACTTACTAACGGATTCTTGAACATGACCAGCTCCAAGGAAAATCCAGATTCTGACCTCTACGGAGGTGAGCATTGTTGCATGTCACCGGCTCTAGGGCAACTGCTTACATTCTACAGACCTGTACGATGACGAGTTTACTGTCCCACTGGATGATGAGGCCTCCCCTACCACAGAGGTTCCTCCGCAAGCAGACAAGAATCCTGAGCCTGTGAAAATGGAGATTTCAGCAACGACCATGTCGGCGTCATCTCTACCTGCAAAACCTCAGTCTTCAAAAAGCGACCCTTTGTCATATTCGGCGCAGGTTGCAAAGCAATTCTCTGCGTACCAACAGACACCGAGCCAGGAGCGTATCCAGAAACCACCTTTGCCCCTCCCACCAAACCCGAGTGCACAAGGTGGGCCTTCGGCAATAGCAACGCACGAAGGACCGACAGACAGTCATGCGGACAGGCCTATCCGACCTTCAGAAATGAAAGACGAAGGGTAAGTACATGCTTACCACATGTATGGTTATTTGTCCCTGTATTTTCTTGGGCGAAGCACTTCTAGACTCAGTCTTCGCTATGTCTTGCACGATAGTTTACCCTTGTCGTTCTTTCATGAAAGATGAACGAATGGGAACCTGACAGTTACAGTACATGCTGCTGCACTGCTACTACTGCTTACAGTCGAGCTTACTATCTGCACCTACACTCTGCGCATCGCCTATGCTTCTGTCTTTCATACTCTCATGGCTACTTGCTATAATTGGTCACTAATCACTTATATCTTTCTGGATACTTCCTTGGACCCATCGACACGCTCTACTCTTACTACATGCCTCACCTACGGATCCTTGCCTCACTTACGGTCGTCACCTCCGATAGCAAAATGTTTATTGGCGGCCTTAACTGGGACACTACAGATGGTATACACCCATGCAATGACAATCAACTTCTATTTACTGACTACTATCCTATGTTGTCCTTCCTATGAGCAGAGGGTCTGAGGACGTATTTTTCCCAGTTTGGCAAGGTAATTTATTTTTGGATTTAAGCTGTCGATGAATGTTGTGCTCGGGTTATGATGCTGACGAGCATTTAAGGTGGATGCTTGTACCATTATGCGTGACCCGGATGGCCGTTCAAGGGGTTTCGCTTTCTTGACCTTCGAAGAACCGGAAAGCGTGAATGCTGTCACCGGAAGGGAGCATATTTTGGACGGGAAAGCTGTCAGTGTATCCGTCTTGCAATTTTTTTTTCAATTTCACTAACGTAGCCGATAGATCGACCCGAAACGCGCGATTCCCAGAGAAGAGCACCTGAGAAACACGCGGTACTTTGTTGGTGGTCTCGCTCCCACTACCAATGCAGACACAATGCGCGAGTTTTTCTCGCGGTTTGGCAAAGTCGTCGATGCGACAGTCATGGTCGATCGCGAGTCGGGCCGTTCGAAAGGCTTTGGCTTTGTAACTTTTGAGGACTCGAATAATTCTGATGAGTTTGTGGGAAAACTCGGGTTGATGTTGGATGATAAACAGGTACGTATGGATACGTTTACCGAACACATTTTTCTCTCAACATGTCGACAGATTGAAGTGAAAGCTGCTCAACCTCGAAGCCAGCGCGATCAGGCGCGAAACATGCAACAGGGTAGCCGTGAGCCCTATTTCAACGACTCCGAATCACGCACGCCCAACACGTCCGCGATGGCTTTCCCACCACAGCCCAACTCCGCAGCCACCAACATGCTTTATCAGCGTGTGATGAGTCAAATGCCCATGATGGGAGCAGCGAATATGGGCATGATGAACCCCATGATGATGGGCATGGGCATGGGAGGCATGGGAGGCATGAATAGTATGGGCGGCATGGGCGGTGTAGGTGGTATGGGCGGTATGGGTGGTATGGGCGGCATGGGGATGAACATGATGGCGGGTATAAGTCCAATGGGTGGTATGGGTATGAACGCCATGCGGATGGGAATGCCAGGGATGGGGATGATGAACGCTACGGGCGCAGGTGTAGGAATGGGGATGAACAACATGGGGATGCGTATGCGGCAGGGCATGACTGGCGCCGTTACCCCGAACGCGAATGCAGGGCGCATGCCAATGAACCAGGGACTGGGTCCATCGAGAATGTCGAGTCGTGGACAGCATTCATTCCATCCATATGCACGATAGTTTTTATTTGCTTTGCATCTGCTGATCTGTACCATATATCACCACTAGTTATTTAAACATGCATCATGATGATCAGTGCATGACGAACTTCTTCTTGAAGTGCGCTATCTATTCACGTGCAGATAATGTTGTGTCTACTACGTACTACAATTTCAGCTACAGAAAATACCATACAAGACATCAGAATATGCAGTGACCCGTCATCCTCTCCTGGATATATGCAAAATTGACCATGACGTAGATCGACACTGATTCTAATATACTCCCACTTTCACCTCGTAATTTGAACATTTCAGCTAAATTTCGTCTGCGTAGTTGAACCCGAGTATACATCTGGCTGAAACAAGCAAGCGATTACGTATCGTCACGTCCACCCTCTCATCTTCGCTACTAGCACTAACACCTGATCTCCAGGTAATTTCTCTCCAACCGCCCGACTTCCTTCCTCGTCGTTCATCCCCACATACTCTTTCCACCTATCCAATTCCTCATACTCAACATTGAGTGCCCTCACAATATTCGACAAATAACCAAGATCCGATGAGAGCTGTGCGGCTCCTGCGATGGAAAGCGTACGGATCTTCGGCAGGACGTTGCTGGTAAGGTGGGATAGAATAGAATGTCCGAGGGAGGACAGCCAGGCTGCTGCAACTGCCTCCGGGCTCAGCACTACCGGCTTGGGGGGTAAGATGAGTGAAGGCCGTCGGTTGTGCCCAAGCTCAGAGGATTGGGCATGCATATGTTCACTCAGACCACTCAGATAGGCTTCATCAACATTCGGGAGTGTGTTAAGCGAGAAGCCTAGTGCATCGTCGTCTGCATATACCTCAAATAGCCGTGGCAGATTCAACAGCCCCTCTGCAACGTGTTGGACGATATCGCTGGGGGAAAGCGAAAACACAGGCACGTGCAGATCGCCGGTCGTGCGCATAGACTTTGGATCACCCGGTACCGCCCAGAGGGCAAGGGATGCATAGGATGAGAGATGTGTATGTAAGGGGGAAAGAAGGGTGTGCTGCAGGGAAGACTGAAGGGCTCTGGCAAGGGACGCAATGGATGTCCGCGTTGTAGTGAGTAGTGGAACAGGGGGTTGGGATTCTGCGGATGATAAGAGATCGTGTAAAGCTGCGCTGTTCAGGGAGGACTGCGCCAGGAGCAAACCAGCACCCTTGGTTGCACCAGGTGTATACACCCCGCCTTCGTGCTGCGCCAGTCGGAATGCTGTGGCAATCTGCACGAGTGCAACTCGCAGCTTACCCTCAAAAGTGCCGAGCCGATCAAGCACCGCTCGTGTAGACGCGAGGAGGTGCAAGATGAGTTGAATGTTGCTCCAGTCCTGCGGGGAGTAATCCAGATCTGCGAGGTCATCTCCGGATTCTGCTGGGGCACCCGAAGGGACAGACAGATTCGCAGTCAGCGATTGGGTCCAGGAGTCAACAAACGAAGCAAGAGAGTAGTCTAACGCGAACATGAGTCCTGGAGCAGCATATCCATATGTGAAGGACATGCAGCGGACGAGGCTTTCCTCTGCAGCACTAAACACATCGACCGCGCGCTCGCGAAGAAGGCGAGCTGGGTCAGTGCTTGGGTTCTTGTTAGGGGTGAGTGTGGAGGCAAAAGATAGGTCATCAGAGAGGAGGCGCCGCTCCAGTGTCCCATAGTCGACTTGGAAGTCTAGAAACGCCTGAAAGAGTGCTTGGTCCCAATCAAGTACATCATTGAGTGTGGACTGCTGCGCCCGTGAAAAATTCGTGGCTGAATTCGATCGCCAGGACATGGACATACGCATGGAGCGGCGGCGGGTGTGCTTCGGAGGCAAAGGACCATCCGAAGTACTGTCCGTGGGGATAACAGAGAACTGTATTTTCTCCATAATTTTGTCTGTGCTCGCCGCGAACTCCTCTGTCGTTTTGTAGATAGCTATGATATCCTTGAGAGCAGATGAACCGATGATATTGAAAAGGGACGCAAGGTGCTGTGGACATGAAGGCTGTAGGATGGACAGAGTGGAAGTGATGAATGTTGAGAGTGTGATTTGAGGATCAGGAAAGATGGCAGGAATAGACGTGCGCTCTGCATTGAGGACGACCAGGAAACTGGCACAAAAAGTTGCCCAGAAGGCGCTGAACGTCTGTCTCGGCACCGCAGACACTGACAGTTCCGTATCTTCCAGGACTTCGCTCTGCCACGAAGCAACCAGCCCTGCTCTCCGAGAGCCGAAGTAATAGTTCCTGAACTCACTCTCCCTCTGTATGTTAGAAAATATCCCATAAAAGCTCCTGCAAAGTGCCGTATCGCCCGAGTTGATTGCACCGACCAATGCGGAGCTGAGGGCAGCCTCGAGTTGGTTTTGGAGGGATACCATCAACGCACGACGAGGCTCATACTCCGGAGTTCCCGCAAACACAGGCATACTTCTGCTAGCCTCGCTCAATCTCTCGGCAGCCTTGTCATATGCACGTTCCGCTAGCAACGCAGTGACCTCAGCCTCTAAGCTGGACCACGACTCTGCCTCACGTAGCACATCCCTCACAGCCTCCATCCGTCGTTTGGCAGTGTCAAGAGTCTGCAACCTGTCGAGAGCAGCAGAAGTGCCCGTTCCAGCTGGGATACGGGCAGTGACGGTGGCGAGAGAAGAGTGTAGGGAGAGGGCACCATCACGCATGAAATGCAGGTCATACGTGAGACGAGGAGCGCTGCGTGACACCTCGTCGATTGTGCGTTCGAGTGCAGCCGAAGTTGTTATTGCTGAGAGGTCCGTGGCGGTCAGCAGGTCCGCCAGCAGCGACTCAAGAGAAGCAAGCGGAACATGATTGTCTTGTGGTGTAAGTGTGTCGTTGAGCCATGTGAGTACGTCGGGCGCGTCATCTAGCTCTTGCACAAGTGCAGACGCTGATGTGGAAGTCATACACGCTGGAATTTGTGTCTATTATAATTGTTGTTTGCACTGACGGTGATGGAGATGTAAGGCTCACGGAAGTCGTCAGCTAGACGTCCGTGGACCGAAACGTCCGAGTCGCAACACACTTTCAAGCTTCAAGTGGTAATACGAATATACGCACCGGCAGGATCGTGACACACTGCAGGTTGTCAATATTGCCAAGTCAACGAAAACAATTCAAAGACACATAAATAGCAGGGTTGGATGATTGACTACTACAGAAGTTAACGTACAAATTGGTTGAACATGGTGGAATGAAGAACAGAATAAAATGGACAGCTCCTCCAACCACACTTCAAATGCTGAAGCTCGTAACAGGACCACAATTATCAAAAGAGCTAATGAACCCCATTTGCAGCAATAGTCACCCTACCCTCCCGCAGATGCTGCGCCGTGCGCTCAGCAGCCGCATCATATACATACTGCGTGGGCTGTCTTCGAGGCCACATTGCATTAGCGTTATCCCCGCCGCGTACCTCCTCATCCGACTCAAATACAACCGATCCACGCCTTGGCTCGTAGTACAAATCACTCGAGTCGTGTTGTTCTATATCAATGTATTGGTAAACCATCATTTCGTTATCAATCAAATGAGAACATAACACACCATCATCGACTTCTTCCACAACCCTCCTCTTCCCGAGCGCCTTCGCGCTCGGTCGTATGGGAGATTTAGTTTCTTCTTCCTCCACATCGGTTTCGTCCATGTGTAACCGGTCCAAAGCACCACTCATATTTTCCAGAGAGTTCCCTCTTGATGGACGCACGAGGCCACCCCTATCTGGCGAGGGCGGGCGTGACGGGAATGCAGGAGAACGAGGACCCATGGGGGGAGGTGGCGGTGCGAGCAGTGTTGGTGTGCTCATGGACTGTGGTAGAGAACCGTATTGCGGATGGCCAGGGGAGAGCGCAGGAGGGACCCGAGGAAGTGGGTGGGTTTGTGAGAAAATAACGGGAGGTAGGTCGTGTTGGCGGGGCGAAGCAGGCGGTGATGGCATTGGTGACGGTGTGCGTGAGGAGCCGCCTCCATAATCATGATGGGATTCTCTGAGGTACTCATTTTCCACGTGCTATAGCAAATGTCAGTCTTGTTCAAGGGGATACAGAGCAGAAAACAGAATAATGATTTGACAGACAGAATGATTGGTGCATACAAAAATAAGAAAAAACACTCACTCTTCGGTCCATCTTCACATCCCTTCGACTAATTTCAACAGCCGCCTGCTCATCCGCAAGCCGCACAACATCATCATACATTCTCAACGCTCCAAAAAGTGCTTCATTCGCGTCAAGCAACGCACCAAGAAGCTCCTCCTCTGAAGTTTGTTCCTCCCCCTCTGTATTATAAAATTTAGTATCCATACCATGGTAATCTCGACTCAGCGGAGAACTGAATTGGACGTCAGGCTGCAATTTCGTACGTCCATTTCCTTCTGCATTCTTTTCTCGGTCATTGCGCGACCGTTCAGCTCCAGCAGATGCCCATGGAATTTGGGTATATATGAGTTCTTGTGACGCGCGGCACTTTGTCAAAAATTCCTATGGACCAGTCAGATTGATATTAACAGGATCGGGGTATGTGAGCCGTGATATGCCATGGAAAGGTAATGTAGCAGACTGGCAAAGCGGGGATCAAGGTCAACTGAGAAATCACACGCACCGGTATTAGGCTCCCTTCTATCTGTTCCGGTTTCGTGTATGCAAGCATCTCGCTAAGGAAAGTCGCATTTCCTTTCGCGATCTTGCATTCCTGGAATAAGCGCTTCATGTCTTCTTCGGGAGGAATGACACCGCGCTGGAGATTTTTCTTCGACGGCCGCTAATCGTGACAAGACATTACCCGGACGAACGAATAAAAAATAGAGCAGGAGAATTGATCAGGGCACTTGTTATAATCTACAAAGCAAAAAAAGACACTAACCTCCTCTATTGGTGGACGCGTAGGAACTATAGGGGGGCTAAACATAGCATCCTCGGTGTCAAACGGAATCCCCACGTCAGGCTTATCGGCAGGTTTCAATCGCATCCACAGGGCGCGAAAACCATCCCTATCACGGTCGCGATCTTTAAGCGAGAAAGGGGATGGTTCAGATTTGGGCGAGGGGTGGGGACCTGTAAAGGACCACCAAGAGGTTGGGTCAGTATCGCGAAAAGAACGCAGGTTCGGATTAGCACACGACTCAGTGCTCAGGACAGATGGAGACAGGTTTAAAAAAGGGATTGTGGAGCGACGAACACGTACGTGAGCTAGTGATGAAAGCGGCGGCTGCAAGCACCTCCATTAGTCGTTCTCTGACGACAGGACTTGTTCTTGAGTTTGTCAACACATCCTCGAGGGTGTCGATGAATTTACGGGAGCTGATCTGAGTTAGAAAGATATCGGACGCGTTGCGGAGCATTATTGCCCATAACTGTGCAAAGCATAACGCAAATTGGATGGAAAATAGCCGAGTATGCGTTTTCCAAGATGAGAGGTCAAGGACAAAGCAACGAGTCTAGTGGTGCTTACCCTAGCAGCAGATAACTGAGATTTAGGCTCTGCATATCTGTATCCCAGATACCCTGTCAATGGTATAGAGAGCGAGTTTGGGCTATGGAACGCACTTGAATTCCCTCCGAAGGGCTTTCATAGCCTCCTTTGCATTCGCTTCAGTAGCAGACGCGCGCTCGCAGACCTCGAGCACGAGGGACCAGTCCTCCGATGAGGTCGCCGTAAGGTATCCTACGCCGGTATAAATCCCTGCAAAGACACGATATCGGCTGAATTGACGCACCGATCATGCGCGTCAGCTCTGAGGGATTATCTTCTTCGCGCCAAAGACGATCTCGTCCCTCTTTGTCCTTTTCTCTCTCCTTTTCCTTTTCCTTCTCACGAGTTTCACGCTCTTTATCACGTCCGCGTTCCTTGTCTTTGTCCCTGTCCCTGTCCCTGATAATCCCGTCCCAAAAGCTCTTCCTCTCCTTCTTCTCTGCCCTGTCCCTGTGATCAACTGGAAAATACTCGTCTGGTATTGTTTCGTGGGCATGATGCGGGTGTGATTGTTGCAGGGCATGCTCCAGATGTGGATCGAGCGACTTCAGTATACCAAGTGCAGCAGGCCCAGGCTGTGTCTTCTGGATCTTCCGTCCGTCTCTCCGTACGGTATGGGTTGAGTTTAGGTTAGTCTGGGGGGCGGGTGTGGGCGTAGGTGTAGTGGTGGTGTGACTTGTAACGCTGTATGGACTACTGGAACGCGCGGGTAATATTACAGGTGGAATTGAAGCTAGGGAAGACGAGCGGCTCGGTGACATCGGAGGCACTGCAAACTGAGGATACGGACTAGAAGGGACAGGGGGCTCAGATAGCACCTCCCAGTCACGGTGGTCCTCTGAGGGCCGTTTGGGGCGCACAAGTAGTGCATCCTATACATATGCATCAAAATTCAGGTTAGTGATGATCCAAGTCATGACATAGATGGTTGTTGCCAAAAGTAAGTTGAAGATCAAGACTCACATCGTCGATAACAACATCAACATCTCTGTGCGAGGTTATCCTTTGCTGCTTCACCTTGTCACGTCCAAAGAGTTTCTTCATTGGTAGGATAGAAAGAAAGAAAAGAGCTGGGAGTAGATAGATGAGGCACAAGCTTCAGTCACTTACACATGAGGCTGTGTATCACAGCTACTGTCATCACGTGACAAGTCATATCCTCGTCGCGAGCGATATTCAATTCCCGACAGCGTCGGTCAACGCAGTTGTAGTCTTGGCACTCACATACACAGCCACTCGATCTATCACCCAGGGAAAATTGGACATGGCCAAAACCGAGCGGAATATTTAGACGCACAATATTTCACTATGAGAGATTCGCTGTGGAGACCAATAGAATATTTCGCATCGGTTGAATTATACTATAATCTACTGATACAAATGCTTCAACCCACGATCAGAAAACACGGCATGGGATGATAGCGACAGCGATGCAAAACACGATAGCGGGGAAGCGATACAACAGCAAGCACAAAGCAGCAACAATCAAGCCAAGTAAAGGGTATGCAAGACGAGAGGATCCAATATCCAATGACGAAACGACATGATGAGCAATAATGAGATGGTGAGGAAAGTGGCAGTACGGAACGAGGGGAAGCTAGTGCCATCGATAATGTCGCTGTTCTTCGTTGACAGCCCTTCTCGTTCCTATACATTCATTAGACTAGACAACATAAAGAAGAGTTCCACTTACTGAGCATACAACCTTTGTTTCACATGACTGCAGATAGAACAGGCTTAGAAGTATTCATGAGAAGCAGTGAAAACATACCTTGATTTTCCCTGCGCTCAGCAAGAGTGTGTACTTACCATCTGTGTTGACCTGGTCGCATTTTGACTGCATTTTTAATAATGCATGCGGTGATAACATACCTAAATCAAATATTCATACAATCTGTCGAGGAAGTTGGCGACAGTAGGAGGATGGCGACTTAGCGGGAAGATGATGGTTATGAGGAGAAGTAGGAAGATACGGTTGCCCCAACGAATTATAACTTGGGGTTAATGATGTCACAAAATTTGCGCAAACAAAAGACTTGTACTGCCGTACAAAAGAGTACCAGCCGCTGTGCAATGTATGTGATGCAGCACGATGTGAAGTAGTCAGTGAATTGATGTAAAATTGCATAGCAGAAGTGCGTGCGGTGCACGTGCGTGTGAGCGCTCGAGTCTATGCTAACAAGTGCCCCCTCGGTGGTAATGACGTCTAGATTGCAATATAATGGCATTACCAAAGCTTGACTCACTACCTGACAAACAGACGCTTCCCTCGCATTGGTCGCGCACTGCCCACACGTCCAGTCTCTGCCTGATACATCCGGTACGCTTCACGAAGGTGATCTGGCGTGAGGGGGCCAGAATCATTGCGCCGTGATTGAACCTGGCGAGCTAAATACAATATAAATGAGAACACGCAAGACTGGGTGCGCAAATAGGCGTACCTTTTTCTACGATCTCACCAACAAACACTTTCCCAACACCTGCTACTATTTGTGCAACGGGCTGAGAGACTTGCTGTCCTGTCGTTTGTTGTATAACCTATGCAAGTGAGGCTGCGATATCTTGTTATCATTACCACGAGCTCGCACCTTCCGTATAGCCTGTTTCGGTAGTGCATGGCGTCGATAGGCTTCAAAGCGTTCATACTGTGCCGGACTGAAATTGTCCATAAGCACCCTGACAAATTTCATGAGCAGGTGTACTATCAAACAAAATACCACAACTTACTTCAGATTATCCTTGCTCTCGCTCTGCCATGACAACTGCGCAGAGTAATCATCATCCGCCATGGCAGGTAAAAGCTCGTCTTCACCCTCTACGTCCTCGTCCGCAGCACCCGCAGGTTTCGCGGTCGTCCCAGGCGGTGGAATTATTGTATCTGTCGAAGAAGCAGCAGCAGTAACGGGCAGAGGCTGCGTCGCCACAGGTTCATCATCCCCACTGTCCATCGAGACATCACCAGCATTTGCGGCACTGCTTTGAGCAGCAGGAATTGTCACAGTAGAGGTCGAGGCAGTGGCAGTGGCACCTGCAGGGACTCCAGGTGTCGCCCACTGGGCCGGGGTGAATCGTGTTGCAGACGTAGATGTGCTGGGTCCGGATTGTGGCGGGGGGCGAGTATCGGTGGACGCATTTGGTAATGCACCGCGAGGCTTGCGGCCGCGTTTTGCACCTGTTCCACGACCGCGTGTTGGCGCCGGCGCTGGACTTAGCGTTACTGGTGTACTAGGCGTCATTTGAATAAACGAGGTTGGCGTGTACGGCGTAGTCATCGTTGATCGAGATTTGCAAGGTAAGGTTGATATCAATATTGTCTTTGTGCTAGTACTACTAGTACTATCAAGTACAGGAGAATGAGGTACAATCCAAACAATCCAAAATAACGACAGAGGAAGTTACTTAGGTAAGTAATAAGTGCAAACACTACTATGTATGTACTACTACTACTATTCGTCATATGATGATATCGCCTTGGATCATCGCCATCGTCTTTCGTGTAAGTTCGTTCCTCCTTCAAGTTCTACTTGGAACTTTCCATTACCTTCCCGAGTTGGCCAGCCTTCTGTACTAGGTGAACCAACTCGGTAGGTTGCGCACGTCCGGACAAGCCTTTTGTAGGTGATCCGGATGTCCAGTATGTGACATACTCATACTCCGAGTCCCTTCACTTTTTGAATCTGACTTGGGGCCGTTTTTTAATGCTAATATTCACTTTAACCACTTCAGCAGGAATCTGTTGGCTGGACCCAGTGTCTCATTCTTGGAGGGATGCCCAGCAACGAATGCCGACAAACGCTGAACAAGCATTTTTGACCAGGCGAAACAAATCAAGGATAACGCCAGCGAACGGGTTCGAACTACCGGATTTTCTTTCCTTGTTTGTCCAACATGTTGGCGTTCTCGACAGTCTCGAGGTAATCTTTGACTCCCAGCTGCGGTCCTCGAGTCTGATGGCATCAAAAACCGTATACAAGTCGCCACCGAAGCTGATGTTATGTTGTTTCCACTGCATCGTACAGTGTTTCATATCGGTAGATGTAACTACTATATCATATTTCGAGCCCACGCCTGTTCTCACTTATCACGGTTAGAATAATGTGGTATCTGAATGGGCACCCGACTACACCGACGAGGGTGCTCTCCAACGAAGACTAGCAGTAAGACCTGCCCACCTCCAGAACGTCAAGATAAAAGCCTGCTTGCTGAAACTCTACTCGAGCTCTTCAATCCACACTCAATCTCAGCTACTAGTACACTTTGTGTTTTAACAATCCGAAACAATGTCACCGACCCTTCGTCAGAAATTTGATCTTCCAGTCGTGATGTCCGTGATCTCGCTTTGCACAATTTTTTCACCCAACGTTTCGCAGCAACGGCCTCGGCAAGGAGGTCACGATCATGCTCGCCTGGAATCCCCACCTGGACGTCGGATGGGTGTTCCTATTCTCTTGCTGCCAAATTGCCGACTTACATATGAGCCCTCTTTCCAGGTCCATACTGGGCTACCGCGACCTACACGGCCCAGTAAGATGATCGACAAGATCAATAGTCTTGAAAGTCGCTTATATATTGTATAGGCTTGCTTTCTCCAGAGCCCAGGTCGAGAGTGGGAAGGTCATCAGCGCTGCGACCTCCGTCAATATCAATGTGAGCGACTCTCATCTACTCCGAAATTGCTAGCACCAATACAAGCCATAATGCAGAACAGCGAGAACAGAAGCCAACGATGTCTATCATGTCTCTGTAAGTCTGGCTTCCGTTGATTTTCATCTCGACCACCGATGAATACCTCGTGTAGCCCCCTCAGGCGGGAACCTCTGGCATCCTGCAGGCCCCGAACCACACTGGGACTATCCAAGAAATAGCAGTCGGTTTGTATTGCCCATCTCCAGGCTTCGTGAACAGAGGAGACATTATGCCCACGTTCGTACTCTACTTCAGCGATGTTGGGTATGTCATCTTTCCTGTATTTTTCCTTGAGAGCGTTCATAACACAATGCAGAGATGGCAGTCGCGTCACGGCAAAGTTCACAGGGTTCGGAACAGTCAATCTGTTCAGCAACAGCAGTCGAGGCCTGTATGTTCAATCGCTACGCAGTGCAGTATATACATGGCTGGCAGCATCATCATGGAAGGACCCGTCTTTCGCCAGCTTGACGAATTGCAGATGCTTGAGATCGATCCACGGCTCCAGGTCCTCGCTCGTTCGTCCCCTGAAGACAAGAAGATACTGGTGGAGAAGCTTTATGCACTCGGGGAGATCGTTGCCGTCACTGGCGATAGTCCAAATGACGGACCTGCTCTCAAAACAGCGCACGTAGGATTCTCCATGGGCATAGCAGGGACAGAAGCAACCAAACAGGCGTCCAACATCATTCTGATGGACGACAACTTCTCTTCCATCGTCAAGGCAATCATGTGGAGTCGTTGCATGAACGACGCAATTTGGAAATTCCTACAGTTCCAGATCTCCACCAACATTACTGCTGTGGTGATCACTTCCGTGACCGCCATCGCTTCTAGTTCTGAGAGATTGGCGCTGTCAGCTGTTCAGCTGTTGTGGATCAATATCATCATGGACACATTCACTGCGCTTGCACTTGCCACGGACCCTGCATCGTTGGCGTTACTCAACTGGACACCTGATAAGCAGACAGCACCACTTTTCACTGTGAACATGTACACACAGATCTTGTTGTAATCCGTCTACCAGATCACTGTCACCCTACTATTCCACTTCCTTGGCACCTAGATCCTGGGCTTTGCCGAGATGTCGGGCAATGACACCATTGTACAGACGCTCGTCTTCAATGCGTTCGTTTTTGCTCAGATATTCAATTCGGTGAATTCGGTCGCCTTTGGCTTCGTATCCACGTATCCATCCCTCTCGGCATGATCATCCGCCTGCTGCCTAACGGACCATTTGAACACCTCTTCATCCTGATGCGCTTACTGCCCAACCGCCAAGGTGGTCTTCCAAAAGGTCGCCCAGAGGTTGAATGGAATTCTCCAATTGAAGTTGTGCGTGATAATCTTGCCACATTTGCTAATCTGCGGGGCGGGTAACTTCGTTCGTCTTCATTCGTCGTCAAGAGTCGTCAGGCTAGACTATACGAACGTGTTCCTCTGTATGTGAAGTGTTTGATTTGGCAGATGGTATCCTTAGTTTTTTCTACCCCTTCGTTGATGACCACGGTCCTGATGCTTATTGCATCTTCCATCGGGGCTCGCTGGGCACCACAATCACGCGGTACTCACTCTTGTGCTCAGTATGTAGTTGAAATTCAATGTGATGCTTGTCTATGTGTTACGACAGTACGGGTCAATCAAAATTAAGAGCCAAGTGAATTTTAAAACACGAAGTGACATCATACCCTCTGAAATTTCGGAACTGTCCCACCAATTACCACTGTCTTGTGTTTTACCACCCTCATGACACGATCAAAGAAGGGGGCATCGGACGTCATTCAAAAGAAGCCAAGGCGGAGGAAAGAATCAGCTACCCCGAAGTCAGCTTTGGCTGACATCCTGAAATGCAAGGAACTTGGAATTGAAACACACCTCCAGGCAAACAAGACGAGGAGCAGCTATGCTGGCCATGTACGCAGGAGACGCGAGTGGCTTGCGAGCCATTTTGATGCACCAAGCTGCTCCGCTGACGATGGGGACTGCTCAGTGCTCAAAGAGCCTTTGGTACAGCCAGTAGCACAGCTCGATGAACATCTAACACTGGTGAACCTAAATTCCAGGATGTGTAACATCAACCTTTTCTGAGCCCCTGGCGGGAATACTGCACTACTACTGTGCCAGATCAACTACAACAGCACATTTTTCGGACCGGCTCCTCCGATTCTAGGCTATGTTGCAACTTTCTGACTAACCGAGTATACAATTGGAAGACAGAATTGTTATGCGTTGAACAAACCTAAGGAGTAAAGTTATTTAAAAGGCCGGTAGCCAAACCTGACTTGCTCTACACTGCACTGTCACGCACAGAATAAAAATCGTACAGAAAGTGGTGGCAGCGATGAATGGTGGTCAAATACCTTTCTGTAGTCAAAATTATCCGCGCAGATGATTAACGTCGACAACATGGCATAGCACAAACTCTACGGACAGACGGGTATGAAACTGAATTGTTCTGAGCGTGACGACTTGAAAGAAGCCGGAACGTAGACGGTCGTGAGTGCCAAGTGGCGATACCAAATAAACATGGAATCAGTGATTTTTGGAACTCGAGGTTGTCATTCTTGTCAATGCAATACGCATCACTCCTCACTTAGCGATAGCTCTTGTTACGCGCAGTTTCGCAGAATGACTGCAACTTCATGATACCATCGACTGGGTTCGACCTGTACATGGCTTTGTCCTTGATGAATAGTGATGGTATTGGGGATGGCGTACGCAAGGAGCCATCTCCATAATCATGGTGAGATTGTCCGAGGTAGTCATTTTCGATGTACTGTACCAAATATCAGTCTTTGTCAGTCAGCAGGAACAGGGGAGAAAACATAATAACAAATTGACAGTACACGGAAGACAGAATGACTGGCGCAAAGAAAAATAACACTTACTCTTCGGTCCATCTTCACATCCCTCCTACTAATCTCAACAGCGACCGCTCCTATACATTCTCAACACCAAGGACAGTTTTTCGTCAGGCAACGCACCAAAAGCTGCTTCTCTAAAGCATGTTCCTCCCCCTCTGCATTATAGAATTTAGCACCCATGCCATGGTAATCTTTACACGACGGAGAACTGAATTGGATGTCAGACTGCGATTTCATACGTCCATTTCCTTCATGTCCATGGAATTTGGGTATATATGAGTTCTTGCGACCCGTGGCACTTCCTATAGATCAATTAAATTGATACCAACAGCATGGGGGCAGGAGAGTCATGATGCTGCCACGCAAAGGTGGTGTGGTAAACTAACAGAATGGAGATCAGGGTTAACTGAGAAATCACACGCACCGATATTGGGCTCCTTTCTGTCTTCCGGTTTCCTGTATGGAAGCATCTCGCTAAGGACGGTCGCAATTGCTCTCGCGATTTTGCATTCCTGGAATAGCGCTGAATGCCTTCTTCGGGATGGATGACATCGCGCGCGCTGGTGGAGATTCTTCCGCTACTCGCTACAAGGTGCCATCGGGAAACAGCGAACAGAAGATAGGTACCATCATAAACCACAAACCACAAAAGCTGACAGTGGACACGTAGTAACTATACAGGGGTTAAACATAGCATCCTCGGTGTCGAACGGAATCACCATGTCAAGCTTATCAGCAGGTTTCGATCGCATCCATAGGGTACGGAAACCATCCTTATCATGGTTGCGAGCTTTAAGCGAGGAAGGCGATAGTTCAGATTAGAGCGAGGGGTAAGGACCTATCAAGAAGGGCCGCCAATAGGTCGGGTCAGTGTCGCGAAAAGAACCCAGGTTCGGATGAAGATATGGTTCAGCGCTCAGAATCGGTGGAGGTGAGTTTAAAAAAGGGGTTGTAGAATAAGCAGCAGATCTAGGAGATAAGTTGCGCAAGATGTTCAGTAAATGGGGATAATTGATGATAAATTTAGCAGACTAATATCGATGAACACGTACGTGAATTGGTTATGAAGGCGGAGACTTCGTTCCCCGACGACAGAACTTGTTCTTGAGCTTGTTGATAAATTTACGGGAGCTGATCTGAGTTAGAAAGATATCGGGCGCGTTGCGGAATATTATTGTCCATAATTGTGCAAACCAATGCAAATTGGACGAAGAACGGACGAGTAGGCGTTTGCGAAGGTGAGAGATAAGGACAAAGCAACGGTCTTTACCCCGATGATTGAGTTTTGGCTCTGCATATCTGTATGCCAGATACCCTGACAATGGTATAGAAAGCGGGGTTTGGCTATGAAACGCACTTGAATTCCCTCCGGAGGGTGCTCATATCTCCTTGGCATTCGCTTCAGTAGCAGACGCCGCAGACCTCAAGCATGAACTCCGATGAGGTAGCCGTAAGGTACCCTACGCCGGTATGGTAAATCCCCGCACATCAAAGACACGGCATCGGCGGAAGCGACGCACCAATCATGCGTGTCAGGTCCGCGAGATTATCTTCCTCTTTCTCGCGTCAAAGGCAAAGCCGCTCTCGCCTCTCTTTGTCGTTCTGCCATTCCTTCTCCTTCTCACGAGTTTCAGGCCCTTTGTCCGCGCTCCTCGTCTTCGTCCCTGTCCCTGATGATCTCATCCCAGAAATTCTTCCTCTCCTATTTCTCTGCCCTGTCCCTGTGAAAAAGAATTGAACATGATGCGGGTGTGATTGTCGCATGAGACGCTCCAGATGGACTTCAGTGCACCAAGTGTAGTAGGCGCAGGTGCGTCCTATACATGTACATTGGAGTTCGGGTCAAAGTTCGGGTCAGTGATAATTCAAATTATGACAGATGAGCCAACAATAAGATAAAGATCAAGACCCACATCGTCAATAACAAATCAAAATCTCTGTGCGAAATTCCCCTTTGCTGCTTCGCTTTGTCGCGTCCAAAAAGTTTCTTCGTTGGGAGGATGTGGATGAGTACTTGAATGACCGCTAGTAGCTTACGTAAATCACACTGGCGTTTTGATGACTACATTTTTGTAAATAATATTAATATTCACAGATAGCGCCATATCTCTGAATCACAAGATAAGAATCAGCGATCCTAACATCAGCTTGGCATATATAATGCTGGTAGCCAAGTTTAGTATTGTCTTCAAATGCTAACAGGCGACTCCCCGACCGGAGTGATCTCGTTGAAAATAACACTAGCAGCAGCTTCCAGCGCCTCACTAGTGTACTCGAAGCTTGCCACGCATGCTTGCACACCCAAGACTCTCCCAGAAAATAATTCATATGGCGTGCAGCTCGCCAGGACCACAATCGATACCCCACTGGCCTGCATCCTGACGTTCTCCAAGACATCCAGTTGCCAAGCACTACGATCCGCGTTACGTGTGACGAATATGAGACCCTCGCCGAAATCTCTTTTGCAGTCAAAATCAGCTGCGTAAACCAAATGTTCGACATCTGCAGCGCGGCGTCGCACGGACTCCGCGAAAGACATGTAGTAAGGCGCCGCCGTGTTCCGGACGTGACCTTTCCCGGTGCGTTGCACACCTTCCGCATCATCCACCGCTGCATTAAGGCTTTCCACGACGGGTGTCATCACCACAATCTTGCCCGACGAAAACACAGGAAGAGATCCAGAAACAAGCGCGATAGATTTTGCGTATGCTTCCTCGCTCAGTTCCTTGTTCATCACCTGCAACGCATTCATGGCCTTCTCGTCAAATGGATTTCCGAGCACGTCATCCCATGTCCCAGCGAATTTCCGTTTCAATGCAGTAATCCTTTCTCCGCTTTTCCTCAGCTCGTCCATATGCAGCTCACCCTTCTGTACTGCTTCGTAGGTTGCCTCCATCGCTCCCCTATGGAATGCCATAGTATGGCAAATCATAACCACATCTGCACCCGCCGCTAACGCTTCCACAGCACCACGCGGTACGCCTCCCTGTCTCTCCTTCACCGCATTCATCTCCAGACAATCCGTCACGACTACCCCTTCAAAATGCAGCTCCTCCCGCAATAAAGTCGTAGTCACAGCCCGTGAAAGGGAGGCTGGAGTCTTATTGTCACCAGTCAAGGCCTGGATGACCATATGCCCCGTCATGATGCTGGCGACGTCAGCGTTGACAAGTTCTTTGAAAGGTTTCAACTCGGTTTCATCCAACTCGGCACGACTTTTGTTGATGATGGGGAGACCAAGATGCGAGTCAATGTTTGTATCACCGTGTCCTGGGAAATGTTTCGCAGACGGTGCGACACCACCTTGTGTGAGGCCATCACCAACCGCCTTCGCAAATCGCGCAACCTCTGTGGGGTCTAATCACCGAAGCTTAGCAAAAGTTCTCCAAGCAATTAAACAGCTTGGGTCTCACCATCTCCAAAAGAGCGTACACCTCAAGGAAAGAGCACACAGGTCAAGACACCGTCGAGTACCGAAGTACTTGATACTTACCAATGACTGGGTTCCGTGGGTCAGAATTCACGTCTCCTACCGGAGAATAGGACCAATTAATGCCAACAGCTTTCATCTCGCGAGCTGAAGCCGCTGAACAACTTCTAGCATATTCGGGATCACCGGTAGCAGCGATTGCCATAGCTCCTGGGCTGGAAAGTAATGAGACAAAAGAGGGTCAACGAGACGCGACTTACAACTGTGTACCGGCCTGATGCTTTGCAGTCGAGCTGAACGCAGATACAAGACCTGTAATCATAGCATTAGCCTGACGTGAAAGCGGACGCTGAGAAATGTACCATTCTCTTGATCAATCCCAATCATCAGCGGATGCACGTGTCCAGCATCTCTTGCGCACTGCTGCAAAGATTGAACAAGCGCATGCACCTGCTTCACACCTGGGGAAATCATGATTCGCATAATGTGAATATTTCAACAAACATTGCGTCTCACTTTGCACATTCCGTTTCATGAGGATAATGTTCCTGATTACGATAACTCGTGAGCATAGGGTACATCCATATGCGCTGTTGCATACCCAACATGATACTTATTGATGAGTTCCTTTGCGTCATCGCTGACCTCGTATCCATGGAATCCAAAAACGAAGTGCTGCAGTGGTCCTCAGGATTTAGTCCGATCTGAGAGCGGCTTTCGGCGCACCTGACCGATCTCCCTCTTATCCTCGTCTGAAAGATCCATGATGGTTGAGAATAAAGAGGTCTACCATATGGTCACCGGTGTCTAGACATTGTGATCACGTTTAAGTTGTCACGAGGTGACTTTTAACTTGGCCCATGTGATGTGCTTGAAAAGGCACTTCGACTACCATTTAGTTAGACCCACTGGGGCCAAGTACCAAGCCTTTTATGACTTACTAAGTTAATGTGGCCTGCCGTTCACCGCATGATACGTAGACCAGAATGACTGCATGTCTCCTTTCGGGATCTCCCCAGACTGTACAGCTCTGCTTCGTGCCATGCTGTACGCAGCTCGAATTTGAATTCTGAATCTATAAAAACACTGTGCGGTCTTCTCGCTTCTAATTTCAATTCATCCTAAAGACGTATATTCATTAGTTACATCACAGTACAGTGGCCACATTGACTCCTCTCGACCTGGGCGTCTGATGGCTTCTCGAACAGGAAATTACAATGTTTGATAACTTACAATATTTAGAATTCGCCTTTATTGAACATAGCATTGATTTCCGTCGAAATGCCAGACGCTTGGATGAGCTGGCTGCTATCAAAGATGCTCCACTGTTGGGTGGCATATTGAAATTGCCATGATGGTCCTGAGTGTATAATTAGGCAACGATTGAGTTGAACGCGGCACACCTGATATGATGCGTGCATTTGGATTTAAATTATTGGCAAGTGATGCACTGACACGAGAACTCGGCGCGGCAGTTTGGACAGAGACATTAATGTACGTTGACAAGGTACGGGTGTAGTTTGGCATAAGACTTTTACCCGCCGGTACCCTACATAGTTGGCGAGGATGATCAAGGCTTCTCGGCTATATTTAAATTTCAATAGTTGTCAGCTTCGTCGTGAAAGTGAACTACTTACTGGACCACTATTTGAGTTGATGCAAACAATACAAAAGGGCTCCACGAAGGCACCTTAAGTTCGAGAATGATGAGCAGTAATTAAAGCGACAAGCACGCACGGCGGAGATGACCAATCATAATATTAAGCAACATGTGACTCCTATGATATCACTTGACAAAAACTTGCACACTGCCCAGCCTGAGGCGAATATGGAGGTCAGTCGCACATGTACTTTCTTTTGTTTCCAAATACTGATCGGCACGTCCGGCAGCAGTCCAGTAATCGACCAGCCAAAAGGCCTCGCCTACAAGGACCTGACGGCTTCCAGGTAACGAAGAATATCTCGAAACCCGCGTACAAACCTCCTCCGCCTTTCGTGTCTTCTTTTGGTTCACCCAAGGCCGGGCCATCAACAAAGGTTCATGATGACAAGCAAGAAAAGTCGAAGGATTCGAGTCGTGTTCGAGAGCGACCGCAACCTGCCGCACTCCCCGACTTTGGTGACACTTCACTTGGACGCGAGGCTAACTTGAAGGGGAAGGGAAAGGAGAAGGAGACATCGGTTCGCCCAGCTGGCAATCGCAAACGACCGAACCCATTTATCACTGCGAGCAATGCAGGGGCAGATCCGTCTCACGTGCGCCTCACCATTGCCCCTTCGGAATCAGCATCTGTGCATCTTCCTCCTATATCCCATCCAAAACCACATTCCGCACCTCTTAAACCTCTTCAACCTCTCAAGCCACCTTCGTTTGTAATCAGCGCCCCATCAAATGCATCGTCTTCCAAACCTTTATCGATTCTCAAGCCACCTCCGAGGCCTCAGCCGACTTCTAAAGCGATCGCCTTGAAGCCTCTTGCTCCACCTAATTTTGCCTCGTTTGCTGAAAAGCAACCATTGACTAACTTGAAGCCCATCTCATCTTTTGCGATAAATCCCACAAAGGACGGTGCAGGTGCTGAGCTGCTCTCGCTTTTTCTCCAACAGCACGGACACAACTTTGTCACTCCATTCGAACGTGAGATACAGCGCGGTATTGGACTCAGCCCACGCAAAAACAAGAGCGCTAAAGGGAAGTTTGTGCGGTACGTGCGCATCTTGCGAGATCATTGGTCGGTTGATATTGAAACGCGATGGCATAACAGTGGTGGAATGGCAGCGCGTGCGCAACACATGATCTCAGGCACAAAGACCGACTATACCCTTTGGTGTCTACAGCTCAAACAAAATCTCTCATCCGCGCCACCCGCCGCACCAACGTTATCGTGTGATTTGCTCCTACGTATTCTGCGAGTACTACCCCTTCCCACGAAGACCGCTACCCCCACCCGTGTGCACCTCGCCACATGTCGCATCTCATCGCGCCACAGGTTCGCCAACATAACAGATTTGAGGGATCAATGTTATGTCGTTCTTTTTCCACACGTTATCGAGCCCAGTCGTAATTTTGAAGAGGGCAGGGATGTCTTAGCTTGGATGCCGTGGTACAAGGTTATGCTCTCCACTATCGTTCCAAGGGAGATACTGGGAAGTCTTTCGGTTGAACCATTGATGCCCCCGAGGAGTGTCATCATTGTACCACGATGGCACATTATGCAGACTGAGTGACAAGAGGAGCTAGGGTCTGTATCAGGCGCTCGACCACCGCTACACTGGCACTAGTGGTTTCATAATAATAATGCATGACTTTGCGCAGCATTTTGTTAAGTCACTTATCCAGGACTCCACGTGAAAAATTTAAATACCCGGAACGCAGCCCCCTGACTGGCACTGGTCTTTTAAACTCCGTGACCGTGCCGTTCTCAAACGCTTAAATTTACACGGTGCATTCTGACTGTCTGACTACAGGCACAATACAATCGGTCTGCAGTTTGGAACGTGTCTGAGTCAAGATTTTGAAACGGAATGTAGGATCGTACATGCTCCAGAATTTAAGGGGCGATCCAGGGCGATGGTTCAGTGCGCCGCAGCACTAGGGTACTTCCAACGTGTGTCTATTCAGTACTAATGCAAGTCACGGGCAGTGTAATACTTTTATACTACTTAGTACTAGTACTCCTGTCTCCATCAAAGTTAAATATTACATATAATTTGCAGGGCCGGTACCTATACGAAATTATATTGCATAGCACTTTGAGTTATAATGTATAACCTAGTATAGCTGAAGGTAGATTTCCATAAGCTATTAGTTAACATTTCACCTGAACGTAGTACAGCAACGGCACTCGCCGAATGCGGCAACACATACCGACGAGCTGACCTTACGTAAGACCTCCTTAGGGTCAATTGCACGAAAACACACTTGCCACGTACCTGGTTAAATAACGGATGATCTCACTGGCCAGCTATAGCTACTCGAGCGTCATCCCCTGGGCATACATAAACACAAACTACCCCACATTTGGTGCCGATCTGCCTCATACGGGGATGAAAGTTTTTCACGTGAAATACTTGGGATCAAAGAATACCCATCCTCGGAGCCGTTGAATCGAGTTCTTCACTTGACGTCTCAGACCTGACGCTGTGAAAAGAACGCGACAATTTGAATCAGCTTACTGTTTCAAACTCTCGCGCGTGATGACGGTTTCCCGCGACGCATCGGTGTCACCGCTGCATTTTGGCACAAAAATTAAAGAGAGAATTAACTACGTACTTTACTCCGCTGGGAAGACGTGACCGCGTGACGCGTATATGTCATCACGTGATCGCGTGATGAGTTAGCCACAGACGCGCGTCAAGTTTAGAACGACTCCGATTGACCAGATAGACGCGCCCAACAGTTGTTATCCAAGATGCCCGAAAGACGCGTGTCATCAGTTAAACCCCCTTCTCAATCGTTATCAGGAGACGAGGGAGACATAGACCTCAAGGACTCGCAAGGCACCAGTGATGACCACAACGAGGAGTAATTCTCGTGATATTTAATGCTACCCACCACGCTGACAACGTGGCTATAAGAACGTTCGCCCTCATCGCAGCAGAGTTCAAAGGTGTGTTGAAGATTATAGCGTTTGTTATACCTGACCATATGCGCTTGCCAGCGACATGGGAGAAGAAGTTGAGGGGACGCGACAATAAGATAATACAGACAACGCAAAAGGAACTCCACCTTGCTGTTCGTATTCTTGATATACATCACCTCTCATCTTTACCTTTCAAACAGCTCCAGAACAAGGAAACCGAAATCGCCAACGTCATGAACGATATGTAGGACGTCCTATCAGGGCGTATATACCGCTGTCTGCTCAACACTGATACGCAATCGAAGGGATGCCCTTCATCAGGATTTCCTCAAACAATACGCGATTCTGGAAGACAAGAAGCGCAAAATAACAGCTGCGATTGCTGAAGCACAGGAAGAACTCATAGTCTGTCCCTCAGCACCAAGAAACCATTATTACATTCTCTAAGTAAATAACGTCTTCTTACAGCCACTTGCGATCAAACGCCACCAGGCGATCATCAGCCTTGGACACGAGGTCGAGAACGGGCAACTGGAAGGAATGGCCCTCATCAAAGGTGCTTGCCAATGTATGCTTATCCCCGTTTTCTTACTGCTCCGCAGCTGATCTTCTTTCCCTCCGCTCCATAGCCACGCGGGACGTCGCCCAGGAGCTTGGGACGTTGCACTTCGATTCCTGAATGATACCCGTACTAGAGCATTCTGTCGTTCCCCTTGGCCAGCTTGGCCCGTGTTAACTGAGCGTAGATACGGCCAGCCAGGCCCATGTCAGTGGACCATATTTATGACCTGCTTGACATGTCAGGCGTTTCATCCCCGCTACCGTATCACTTGGCGTGCAGCAGTCGTACCTTGCTGTTGAAGATCATACGCAACAGGTCGTCATGACTTTGATTCCCATATGACGTGGAGTCAGAAGCACTCAGGCTGTTGGCACTTTCCTGTACAATGAACTCGCGAGCGCCGATTTCCGAGATAAATTATCTTCTCTTCGCTGCTGACGCGGCCGGTAAGAGCGTGCCTGGACCATGCAGGGAGTACGGGCTTTTGCGAGCCTCCGGAGACTTAGGAGATGAAGAGAGCAATTGGTCAGCATCAAACGGTCCCTAGATGTCATATATAAACATAGGTCGAGGAATAGCGTGATGATCAAAGCGCCACAGCACTTGTACAAAACAATGGTGAGGATTAGTGTTTGCCTTCGAGGAAGCAGCGTGCATGATATGCTAGAAGATGACTGGTACTATCAGAGATAACACAGACCCGATAGACCGTAAGCTTGGACAGCAGCGGCGAACGTGGGTATGTACACAATGAGAGGGCCTGTAATCATGAGTTGTCATATCTAGGGCACAATTCGCGACCTCGTTAATCGTTATGTCAGGACCCGAAGTGTTGCTCGTGTGCAGTCGCGACCCGAGCAGCCTGAGGATAAGTTATCGCTGATGACAGGGTTCGAATCAGAAGCAAAGCGTTAGTTAATGAACGAATGAAATTTTAAACAACCCACCGATTACGTTCCAATATCTCTGCTGCGTGTACAAGCGTAACAAGGTTGTATTGTCACTTAGATATTTAAAGCTTTTCATTTCATCAAAGGTTACCCTGACTCGGCGATATGGCGCCTGCGCTGCTAAGCCCTGTTAAGCCAGAAGAACTATAACCTTTTCGGCTACCCTCCACTCCGCCTTGGCACCGTCCACATCGAGATCTCTAAACCTTTTGAGCTCGGTGGCTCCTTCACCAAGACGACCGTACGTGGCCGTAGTAGGCTCGGTGTCTGGTGCCACATCAAGGTCGATATCTAAGTCGTACAACGAAGGAACGTGTAGCATCACTCTTCTTGGTTCCACGTCGAGCGTTGAGTCTGAGATGTGCGCGCGAGTCTACATAACGCAACGATTGCTAAGGATCAACACGGGAACTAAAGTATTGGCGACACCATGTCTCCGTGGAAACAGCCCGACAGCCTCGATGGTATGCCGGGGATGGGACTTACCAGATTGGGCACATTGATGATGAAGCGGATTTTACGGTGGTCCTTCGTCGGAGTCCATGTCCATGTGGGAGTAGCGCTTTTGAGTATCCTCTCAACTTTTGAGGCCGGGGCTATAGCTGTTGGAGACGCAAGTTCCTGAATGAGAGTAGTCTTAGCGTCGGATTTGTGGTGAGGGTGACCGGGCGGAAAGAGGATTCTAGGCACAAGTGCTTGGCGCGACACAGGTTTGCCTTTCGAGGCGATGTTGGGCGTGCCAACCTGCCGGGAAAGCTCAAGTGAGGTGTGTGATTCAACACGCTGTAGCGCAAGTTCTACGTCAAGTCATGGTCAGATAATGCATCGGATAGACACGAAGCATCAAATGACGTGCCTATAATGAACGCCTTGAAGTCCGCTTCTTTCAAGGTGCGAGACTTGATGGATGGGTTGAAGACACAGTCGACGACAAGGGCCGGTTTCCCGGCTGAAGACGACGATCCAATGCATGCCAATCACATGAGAAGAATTGAAATTACAGCCAAGAATGGTGCTTAAGCGAAGCACGCGGAGACGGGTGGATAACAGCACCGACCTTTGTCTTTGTCATCGCGAAGATCTGACACTAGGACGGGGATGAACCATCCATCGGAATTTGATTCATTGTGGTCTTGGCCACGAATTACTTTTTGAATTTTGTCTTCACTACCAGGTGAAGGTGGGGGCACGTTCGTGTCCCAAGCTATGTTAACAAAAACTTTAAGTCCTTTCGGGATAGCGAGTGGTGCTCCTGGAGTGTCGGAGGGCGCACTAGAAGAAAGACTAGTGGCGGTTCTGGGGACGACGGCTTGTTGGAGCGCGCTAGATTTTACGCAGAAACCGGGGACTGGATTTAGCGTTAGACTGATTGAAGAGGACATTATCGAACATAGCGTGGAAACCAAGTGGAAACAACGAGCCGTTTCATGAATAACGCCCCTTCCATATCGGGATTTGTGGATTTGTACTTACCAAATTTGAACGTCACTTTACGAAATTGCCAATTTTCGAATGACTTGTCAACATTTGCTGTGTTTCTTTGAATAAATCGGAAAATTACTCGGCCTCACACATGCTATAAAAACCCACTGGATTTTCGCTAAGTTCAACACAACCTCTCTCCTTTTCCTTGTAAAACTGTAACTGCATTTCATTCCACTTCTCTCTACAATGCCTTACAACGTTACTCCCATTCCCGATGTCGATGATGACCAAAAACTACAACAATACATCCAGGATAGACGTGTCATTGGTGTACGTGTCTGATTCCTCCAATCCTTGCAATTTGACATTCATCACTCCAATAGTATGACCCATTGGTTCAGCCTGCCTTGCTTAGGCATGAAGTTCAGCCCACAGCGGCCTCACAGCTCACAATTGCAGCTGCCCGCTACAATGCTGCTCGCATTGTAGCCGGTCAGGATGACCGTGTCCTCGTCATCGTTGGTCCCTGCTCCATTCACTGCGCAGACCAGGCTATTGAGTATGCCAACCTACTCAAATCCAAATTGTCATCATGGGATAATCTTCTCATCGTGATGCGCGCGTACTTGTGAGTTGTGCCTGTTCTTTATGGATCGTACTATACTAACGTTATGTTTGTCCTTCTAGTGAGGTTCGCTGGCCGCATAATCAGTTCCTGGCAATGACTCACCTTATCTTATTATAGAAACCGAGAACTACTGTTGGATGGAAAGGCCTCATCAACGACCCGGTTAGCCTATTTTCTCTTTTTACGTCTATTGTTTGCTCATTTTTTTCTCGTCTCTTTCTGCAGGACATCGATGGTTCTTACAAGATTAACAAGGGTCTTCGAGTGGCTAGACAGCTCCTCTGTGACCTTACCGATATTGGTGTCCCTGTCGGTTCCGAGCTGCTCGATACCATCTCGCCTCAATATATTGCTGACCGTACGTCATGTCTTATCATTCCCGCATGCTTTTTCTGACCCTGCTTCACACAGTTATCTCTTGGGGAGCAATTGGTGCCCGAACAACGGAATCTCAGCTCCACCGCGAGCTCGCTTCCGGTGTTTCTTTCCCTATAGGGTTCAAGAACGGTACTGATGGAAGGTATGATACCATTTGACGTGCTTTCATTAAGGAACCACGCTGATGATCATCTTGGCACAGTGTCACAGTTGCTATTGACGCCATGCGGTCCGCCTCTAACCCACACGCTTTCATGGGTGTGACGGAACAAGGTCTTGCCGCTATCGTCAAGACACGAGGAAACCAGGATGTTCACGTCATCCTCCGTGGTGGCACCAAGGGTCCCAATTACGCATCCGAGCATGTTCGCGCTGCTTCTAAATCAATCGAGAAGGCGCGGCCGACGAACCATGCCAGCATTATGATTGACTGTAGCCGTAAGTATATTAATCAATCTGTAATCAGTTGTCAGCATCGAACTTATTTAACTCCTTCAGACGGGAATTCTCAGAAGAACCACAACAATCAACCTAAAGTGGTCGATGTTATCTGCTCGCAACTCGCTGCTGGTGATAAGAACATCACCGGTGTCATGATTGAGTCGCATATCAACTCGGGACGCCAAGATGTTCCTGCTGAGGGTCCCTCTGGCTTGAAGCATGGTGTCTCGATCACCGACGCATGTGTGGATTGGGAGTGTACTGTGGGCATGTTGGACAGGCTCAACGAAGCTGTCAAGGCACGCCGCAATTACCTCGTGGAGCAAGGTTTCCAACGGCCAGCTGGCTTCCAACGTGAAACCCCTCCATCGCCATGAATTTAGATCTATCTTGTACCTCTGCGGATGCTCTGTTTCATGTACGTGTTCCACACGCGTGCGTTGTATTTTAGCCTGTCACACTACTTCCCATCGTCCATAGTATTAGATCTTTAGACGAAGGATTCCTCACTCGCTGTATTCAATAGCATCGAGGCCTTGCACGGTTAAACTATTCTTATGCTTTATCTTTTGTTACCTAAAACATCATGTTACGATAATTATGAAAATATTTCTGGCTGATTCATGGATAATACATATCTTTCGCACAAAGGACAACGATAGTTTATCCACCAAACATTCTGAATTAAAAAACGTGCATGTGCTGGATCGAGCCATGGAACACGTACGCACGTGTACGAGTATAAGATGAATCACGGCTTTTATAATTGGACCGTTCTGCATTCGTGCGTCTACTAAGTTAAGTTTTTACTGCGTACTTACGGAGATGCGAGGATAAGTAGGACGAACTGCCTGCAACAGCATCCATCTTACCGGCATCCAAACTAGAAGATCGTTGGGATTCCGCATCGAACGTATCATAGTTTGATCATCAAGTGAGACATTCCGAGCGCAAAACGCATGACGACGTCGGCCGACGTCCCTGCAAGTGGTTTCACAATTTGCTCGAGGTATCTCCTTATCACTAGATATGAGCCTGTTCACCCGAGCATTTTCAACCCCGATCCTTTCTTACAAGCTCCCTATAAGCGCTCCCTCCGCGTGCTCTGATCACCAGAGATTGTTCCACGAGGGGATACTCACAGGAGGGTTCAAATGAAATCAAGATCGTGTTTCGACCTTCCTGTGATTCTGGTGAAACGAATATATATACACGGGTGGTGTATTTCCAGTATGCAGCCTAGGCCAGGGAGCTGGTCCTCCTGATATCATAATGCGGTCGGCGGTATAATGATCCGGCAATTTAGTTCTCCGTAACGGAGATCTTCAAGATTCAATCTAGAAGAACCACCCTTACGCGAAATTGTCGACGCCGCCGGACGCCGAATACAAGAGAACACACCGTGACGACTCTTACCGGCACCGCTGACGAGTCTCATCCAATTCTTATCTAATTGGGATTAATGTATTAGTACTGTATGATCATCTCAGCGTCTGCTGTATCTTCTTCGTCGTCAACGTTGCATCAACAAGTCACCCACGGAATCAGTCGTGGCATGCCTTACGAATGTCTCTGCCATGCATCAATAACCCTCTCCAAAGACGGACCCGACCACCCCGATCCAAACACCGTATTCATCTTAGTCCCCGTTCCTCTTAGAACTTCTTTTATGCCCTCATCCAGCGCCCGCAGATCGACGTTCCCAGGAGCAGCACATTGTGCATGAGCATCCTGTGCAAGTTGCTTGAGGATCACTAGCAGCGATGCGGACGGAACACCATGGCGCAGCAGATACCAAGCCAACCAACGCGATACCTCAGGGGCATCTTCCGACTCCACTATAAGTTCCCCACGAGCATATCTCCCAAGGACCGTATTAAGGGCTGTGGAGCTTTGGACTTCTGTAAGGCGCTCATCCAACGCCTGTAATGCGCCGGAAACTGTGTTTTCGCGAATAAGAGAGGGCCGAATATTATTCTCTGATTTCCCACTAAATCGCCGATCGTAGACTTTGCTGTAAAAGTCGACGGCAAAACGAAGGTCTTGCAGTCGGAGATGGAAGTAGCTGTTCGACGATGATTGAGTGCGATACTGATAAAGCATGAGATGGGACTGCAGTGTTTCCATCTTATCCTGAAGAATGCTATCAAGCAGGACAGCGTGACAGTAATTGTGGAAGACTCTTTCATCGACTGTCTTACCGTCCTCGCGTGAGAAATGATCTGCGAAAGCAAGAAATAGGATGTCGTTGGAGAAGGATGAGATGAAATGAGTAAGGTCGCTTGCGGGGTGTACCTTCGTGTCGGTCAACTGCGGGAAGTCTAAAGTTGCAGCATCTCCAGCCGATGAACCAGATCGAACGAACAGACTTCTACTTCCCCTAGGGTCCTCCGTATAGCTCAAGAAAGCCGTGCGTCGCTTCACGTACAACGTCTGGTGCTTTAACAGGCTTCTCCTATGCTGTGGTACGTGTTCGAGATCCACAAAGAAAGGCCAATAGCGGGGCGTATCGATTCTAATGGACAATATCTTGTTGAAATCCGGTATCAACGTGGGCGATATCAACTGCGTTGCACCCTTTTCAGCCCCTTCTTTCGTAGTGATTTTGACTGGGAGATAGACTGCTTCTCTGGTATTAACATCTCGTGCCATAAGACATCTAGGCTCGACTGCAAGAACCCAGAAGTGGCGAAGAGCCTGGAGATAGCTCTTGTTGTCCGATGATACATGATGGAAACGGGGGAAAAAGGCAACGACCATACAAGCAATCGCGGCATTCGAAGTCCCGAGGGTATACCGACCGGCCCCGAGGAATAACAAGCCAAGCGAAAGGTGAGTTGCAACATGGACACCATATCGAAACGCTTGGTGATACATGCCGTATGCATATCTCAGACGTCGCAAGCATGTGATTTCCCCTGTACCCGCCATGACCATACAAAGAGCAATGGAAATGAGGTTCAAGCCTTCACGAACGGCAGAGCGTTTGATCTTGTGATCAAAGGTAGGACCTGGAAAGCATCAGACATTTAGTATGACGTCTTGTGAGTTCCACGAGGAAAATTTACCACTAGCTGCCACAAATCTACTAAACGTATCAAAATAATTCGAGAGCATGATATATGCCTCATGACGTGCTGTCCCTGCATACTTCAAGCCAATAACAAAACAACAACCCGCAATGATGTTGTAATAGGCAAGCTCGATAGCATCGTCAGCCAGTTTTCCTCGTACGTGACCATGCATGGCCTTCACGATAGATTCGGGAACCTGAGCAAGTAACCACTGCGGCGTCGAGGCGATGTCGTTCCACATGATCAAGGATCTTGCAATAGTCCGCATGAGCAAAAAGCTAGGTTGTATGCGGTTCAGTTCCAAGACCGTGCTAGGAATCACCAGGATGTCAGCGACGTCTCGTCGCTCTGTCTTGAGATACATCAGCCCAAGTGCGATAGAAGCTGCTGGAGAGGTGATATTGACATCGAATGTGGACCGTGCTTGGGAATTCACAACTGACTTTCCTTCACCATGCACAAGGACGCGGAGGCGGTCGAGCGATGAGAGATCTGCAGGAACGGAGGAGCCTTGACCCAGCATTATCATGCCAAAGGCCAAGGCAGCACAATAAGTATAAGCTTCCCGGTGTTCATTGCTGAGGTCCGGTTGCACGAGGTCTTTTCGGCTGATCTGGTGAAGACACACTTCTGCCATGCGCCTGTTTTTGGTACCGAGGTACAGAATTCCGACTCCCGCCAAACCGGCGGCTTGGGTCATGAGGGATACGTTCAGGTCAACGTTTTGCGTAGGAAGCAAGGCTGGGGTATGAACGGCAAGTAACTTTGTCACATGGCGATTGGCTGTCCCAGCGTTCGCGGCTGATAAACCAAGCAAGACGCCAATGGAGGTCAAGTCATGCTTTGGGGTTAGATAGGCAAAGGTATGCCATGTGAGCATTTCCTTGAGGTGCCCCGTAAGTCCAAGGCCAAACAAGAAACCGGCATGTTCTGGGGTGAGCTCAGAAGGCTTGTTGAAGGCGATCCACGAACTCTCTACACCACGAGCTTCCGGAGAGATGCGTAGTCCTGCTGCGACGCCATTATGGAACTCGCCCCAGTTGAGGCAATCGACAGGTATCTTTCCAAGCTCGGGTGCAGAAGTGACATTTGATGGTTGTATCTTAACCGCATACTCCATCTTGGGAGTGACATAGGCCTCTTTCGTGACCGTCAACACAGAACCAAAGGTGAACATAGCACGACCATAGGGTAGTGCCAGCGTTCGCTCTGCGATACGAACTACTTGATGCTGTTGCTCCTTCGCCTGATCATGTTCGCTATTCAAGAGTTGTTAGCAAAGCCTCGACTTGGACTATCAATCATCCTGCTCACTTCAATTCCGGACGCTCAACAAGCCGAACTGGTGGAATCGCTGACGAACAAAGCATACGAGCCACCTCTTCCAATCTACGATCTTGGCCAAACCGGATCTTAGTGAATCCCTTGAGATCGAGCTCTACTCCAGAAACCGCATCGATCTCTCCGATGCTCGCAGACTTGGCCTGTTCAGCCAAACTACCGATCGTCATCCGTCGGTGGGTATTCTAGACTCAGATCAGTCGCTGCAATACACCCTGAATCGTATGTCCCTACCATATAAGTCTCGGGAGACTGAGCAATACCCTTCTGAGAAAGCTCTGGCTGCATTCCAGCAACGCTGAAAGCCAAATCACGCCGGCCAATGAGTTCATAATGCTCCTTGCGCCAGTGAGAAGGAGGCGACAGCTGGCACGTTCTAACCGCTTCTCTCAGAGGCGCTGCGATACCAAACGGAAGACTATTAAGAAACGCAGAGCCCTTGTCCGCTGTCCCAAGCATGTCGACGAGATTCTCGACAGTCTGTTCTGCCCGCTTTTGTGTAGATAACACCGTCTTGTCAGCAAGGCACATATAGGCTGCTGTGAGACGCTGCAAAGACACGAGCGGTTCGGTATCTCCAAAAGCAAACGATGGATCAATAGAAAAAGATCTGGCCAGTCGGGAGGTTCCATACGCAGGAAATTGCCAGTCAGGATTACTTATGCTTCCATAAAGAATCGCCGACATATCTGGTGGCCAGACTGGTATGCGGTCGTCGAGCATGTCCACACCTAACACAAGAAGATTGAGAGAACATTTCGGAAAAAGAAACTTATGAACTGACGCGTCGTGGTCGGGGCAGGCCATCCTGGCATGATATTAGGACAGAGGCGCTTCCAGTAATCCGCCCATTCTGGTCGAACGATGTGTGCAATTTGACATATCAGAGGAATGAGTAACATGAGGGATTCATATCGAAAAACCACCAAGCGGAGGTCCTCCGCCAACATGTGCAACGCATAGAGCACAGGCGCGAGGAGAGGGTTGACGTTCAGAGTGAAAAGGAAGTAATGTTGCGTGGTCGGAGGTATAGGAAGCTTCAAGCGTTTGAGAGCCGGATCGTCGTTGAAAGAACGATTAGAAGTGGACAAGGCTGAGAATCGTTCCCATACAGAAGAACTTGTGGGCTCGTCGTTTTTGAAAGGATATACGAGCTTGAGCTCAAGAAGCGCAAAAAGCGCGAGCGTGAATTCCTGAAACTCGAGCCCAGGCGATGTCCGGAAATAACGCTG